AGTTATCGTTACTTTCGCTGCTTTATCGCGGCTAATTGGGCCAAACGATAGACATTAAGCTGCAATTATGTTCTAACTAGCTCTCGTTTTACATAATTCCTGGTAAATGATGGTATTGATCTTCTTCACCCTCGAATGCGCTGAACAGCATTGATATCGACGATAACCGGTGCTCTTTCCTTTTTAACTTCTTCGCGAATTTTTCTGATTTATGTAGAGCAGTCTTATTTGAACAAGTTTGACGACACGATGTAATGTCTACATGCCTCTATATATCTGGTGTGTATAGAAATCGATTCGAGGCTAGCGACGGACATTCATTTTTAATAAGGCTTTCCTTTGTACTCGAGTACCGATTACTAAGTAGAGCTTGGTGTAAACTTTACAAAATCCACGTTTCGTTCGGTGATCATATTTTATTCTAGTCATCTGTTCTGACTAAGTTTGATAATATGAAGTAACGAGAAAGCAGACACCCTATATGTATCAGATAATAGAAGATATGTCTGTTAGATAAAACTTAAAACTTACATTCAAGTATCAGTTTGCAAAATATGAGGAACGTACAAACTTCCATTTTGCTGGGTAGAAACCTTTCTGTATTTAAAATAAGAAATGGCTTTCAGAATGCTTCCAGCAATGATACTTATGAAAGGAAAATATACGAACATCGACGTTGCTTCGTCACACGAACTGATTGATGATACATAACTAACAAAACTTCTTTCGTTAATAAGTGTTTCTAATGAAAATGGACCGAGCATCAATGTTATTCCAGGGGAGGGCAGCTGACAAAGAGAAAATTGAAACGCGTCTGGAAAGAGAGCCTTCCATCCATCAAAGGGAACGTCCAAGACGAAATAAAAATAGATACGGAACAAACTTCTCGACTCTCTTACTCCCTGTTTGCTCCTTTTTTCTGGGGATCTTCCAAAGCTGTTGTTGATCTTGAAAAATATTTCAAATGTTTGTCAGCATTAAGCTCTCTGTACAAAGGACTTTCCGGGTCAAAAAGTGTCTGAAAATGAAGCAACACAAATCCTGAATGCGTCACAAAAATATTAGTACAGTTTTTTAACTATTCTGGTAATTTAATCATTTCTCTGATAAATTTTAATTGGCAAACAGTGACTATATTATTAATTATGAACTTTTATTTACAGTGTACAACATATTGATAAGATGAGATGAAAGAATTCTCCGTAGACCGGCAACTCCATCAGCTAGGCAGATGATAAAAAAGAAAGGAAAGGATTTTCGATATCGAGTGGTAAAGACGAGTCGTCGCGAAGAGGGTGTTCAAGGGTCATCCAAAGATTCCAATTTGTCCTTCGTCGCTTGCGCATTTCACCGCAGAAAGCAAAAAGAGGCAGCGCGAGGCATTTCGAGAGATCGCGACGATACTCGACCTTTGACCTTTCAACCGCGACAAACGATTCGTTAGAAACGCACCGTCTACCCGCTATTTGCTCATTTAGTCACTTATTTCAAGAGAGGGGACACGTTTAAACTTCTACACGAAGACTTGTGTCAGCTTTTGTCGACGATTAAACGTACGTGGTCTAATGGATATCCATTTCGAAATTTGGAGAAATATCTTTCGTTATTGAGAACCCTTAATAAAAACAGTAAATTGAGACAGTTCCACTTCTAAGCAGTAGTGTACACAGTGGAACCAATTGTGCAATGTTAACACAGAAAATAGAAATGAAAGAAAGACTGATTTTGAAAATATTAATTGGAGAACGTGGACGATAGGTATCGAGACCCATTTTGTTGGCGACCAATTGCTTCCACACAATCAAGCAATCAGAACCCAGTGCATCGTTGACACACGATTATATAATAAAGATGACAGGGACTGACACACCATACGATTCCCATTACCTTGTCAAGAATCAATGAAAAAATTATAGGAAATTGGCGTAATTATCGCAATCGGGTGAAATGATGTAAAAACGAGAGTCGGCTCACTGGCATACCCCGATGTAGATGTAAAGTTGTACATGTAGGTGTATGTACGAAATCACAATGCAATCCAGCGATCGATAATGGTTGCGATGCAGGAGAAACCTTACATTCTATGCACGAGCTCTGCTTTTGAAGCTAATCGAACAATATTGCTCCTGCTGTTCAATTTCGGTACCAATGAAATCAGAGCGATAAAAAAATTGGGAAAATGAGGTACGAAAGAGTTGTATGTGTGAGCCGTTTCTTAAGTAATTTAAGTTCGCGGTAATTGGTAGTTAAAATCGTAGATTGGACCTATAATACTGGGGCTATTAATAACTGGACTTACAGAAGTTTCACCAATAATAATTAGCCTCCTGATAGTCCATTGTACTCGTAATTATTATACTACTGATGAATCGAATAATTAGATCGATAATAATTAGGCCAGAGGTATTAGCTCCAATATTTGGACCCATAATAGTTAGGCTAACAATAGATCTATTAATGAACTCAGTGGTTAGTCTAACACTGGTGATAAGCTTTATAATTAGTTTCATAGTTTGATCGATAAAGCTGTTAGTTACTTCTGTTCGGTATACATTTCATTTAATTACATTTTTATTTTTCTGTATACTTTTTTCAGGCATGAAAGAACGCAATAAACTGACCGAGAGAGGAAAAAAAGGAACACAACTCCGATAGGTTTCAGGTGTTTATTTATTCTCTTTTACGTAACGAATGCCAATTAAAATCGTTAACGTGCTCGCTGTTCGAGTGACAATTAGTGCAGGTACCCGCATATAGTCGAAGAGGATGCGTCTGATTAAAAATGACCTGTTCTACTTGACCGAGAAAAACTATTATCGAGAGGTACATATTTCTGCTTTCCAGTCCTTTGTGAATCTATGATATACGGAACTTTTGTTGTCACGTTAATAATTCATTCTTCATAGAAATTGGAAGAAAAAAGATTTCGAGAGCTTCCTTCGTCGAGGATACTGGATTCGAGAGGAACAGCTGATAAATTATCGAATACGACTTTGGCTGATCTCCACGGACAAAATACACGTGCACAGAGTTTCTCTCTCGAAGAATTGTCGCATTATACTAAGCCTCGTGAACCTGCAGGAAAAATATATGCCAGTACATGCACCTCGTGCAGAATCTTCTTTTCCGCACGATAAGAAGCATTTCCTGTTCGCAGCTTAAAACCGGTTCGTTTGCAAGTTCCTGGCCCGATGGATAACGTGCCTCGTCTTTTATTCAAGGAACACGGAAAAGAGTTCCGTCTCACCGATCCAATATACGATAGTTAACGTTTCAACCCTTGTGTTAATAATCCAAATGTCCCTGGATATTTCAGTATCCAAGTATGCAGACACCCCAAAAGCGAATACGACTCGAATATAAAAATGTCTCATGAATCTGGAACGAGTTTGAAATACTTCAACGAAAGTGTCATAAACTGTTTAATGTCACTTGGATTATTCACACAAGGGAGTTCCAAACTTTTTATTTTTAATTAGCCAATCTTTTAGAATGTGACGTAGATCATTTATTATTACCTCGGCTCCAGGTTTCATTAACATTTGAATGTCTCTGCTGACTGAATGTACAGTAGTACTTTTAGCTAAAAATAAGTGTAGGACACCTACGAATCAAACTCTTTTCGTTCGAAATTTTCTCGCGATACATTCCGCATAAAAGATCTGACCATGAACAATGGACAGCTTCGAAATAAATCTTGGTCATCGGAGTTTCGTAATTCAGGGTCGAAAAGCAAAGGAACAGGTGCACGTGACACGGAAGAAAATCTGATCCTTTCGAACACGATGAACACGTGAAAAGCAAAAAAGAAAACGCGCGTCGATTCTATTTTCAGAAACGTTTCGCGATCAAAGCGCTGAACGAAGTGGAGGTTATTCTGTTCACCATACCTCTGTGTCCTGTTCCCAGATTCTTTGGGGATCAGCTGCTCGTGCAAGTCTTTGAAGCAACCTCTTCTCTAAGGATAAGTAATACTTGTCCTGAGTATCGGTTTATTCTCCGTTTATCCTAAGAAAATATTGCTGAATGAGACCCTTTGGTTGCGTGCTTGGCAAGCCAAATACAATTTCTTTCTTTCTGCTTTTGAAAGAAGGTGGTAAGTTTCAAGAAAAATGGAGGAATAAAAACGGAGTAATGCCTTTACCCAGTTATTTATAATGCATTATGTAAATATTGATGAGAACTACAATGATAACAGAATGAATAATTTTTAGATTTCGATGGCAGAATGAAGATAAAAAGTGCAAGTCCCTCGAGGAACAGGGAGCGTATGTCGCCGACCTTCCGCGCGGATCTTTAGTGTCTATATTAGTACATGAATGGAAGAGTACAGAATGACAGAGCAGTTTCTAAGACACGGCGAATAGATCGAAAGTCTGTCTGTTAAGAAACAGAATATCAAAAGTTTAACAATACGACGACCTTTTGAATACATAATGTGAAGAATACAATTATCGAAATTGCATAAAGATTTCGGTTATTACAGTGCCACTCAAATGTCACAATCTCAGCAGACTGCGTCTTAAATGAGCATCCGCAGTTAGTTAATAAAATTAGAAAAGGAACCTGTCGATCACCTTCCAATAATAGAACAAGGCACGCGTCGTGCCTAACGCTGCCCTAATGCCAGCTGTTATAATCGTAGACATCTGTCATCGACTGCCAATTGCAGTGAAAAAGGAGCTCGTTTCTATTCCGGGTTTCCCTGTTACTAATTGAAACAGTGACGACGAGACTATTACAGTATAACGTAATTCTACGTGTCAAGTAACTGGTTTAATTCACAGTCACATTGTAACGGATGCAGAGTCGAAGCTAGACCTGTGAGGTCTCCAATATATTTTATTCTTCGAAACAGACAACTATGGGATTTTTAAAGTTTATGACTGTGGACATGTATTGATTTTAAATAGCGATCAGTTTAGCCCTGAACTAATGAACGAACGAGGGCGATTAGCGAACAGACGCGCTAATCAGTGATAAAAGTCTGGCATTCTTACCTCGCATGATGACGAATCTGGGCACGATACTTTCATTCTCGTATTTCTCTGCGTCTTCAAGCTCCTTTTACCACGAGCTTACTGGTATTATCATGTTCTCTGATCAATCTTCCAGGAGGATCTTCCAACCGCTCTTTCATACTTGTTCTCAGCCGCATTACTGACACCTCAAATGTACATCCTCGATCGCTCAAATCTCTTGGCAAACTTTTCACCAGAGTTTCATAAATTTCGATGACTCTCGTATGATGAACAGTTCTAGGTGATCGAAGAGACACTCATCTTCCGCGTTGTGTACAAAGGACACACGCTTTGAATAGGATCGGAAGTGGTTGAAGAAGTTTGTACCATCACTGATCATGTTGAAATCGACGAGGACTTCATAACGTTTTTATCGTTACACTTAATATTGCACACAATGCTATCGTGGTTCATGTCGGAGCTGTGAGACTCAATTGTGGACATCTCTATCGTAAATCACATGGTGGGCAGTATATTGGGAATCATAAATCACGTTGGACAACTTCAGCACGCCCGCAGCTCGGTGAAGTATAAACATGGTAATTACAAATCGGGCTGAGATCTAATAATATTGAATTACGCCAGAAATGACGTTGCAATGTGTCGTTGCCTCTTGAGAATATTTCACCAGTTACATTCGAGTCCAGCGGTGTTGTACATTATAAATTAGCTTTGCACAAAAGCTTTCATAAATCACATTAAATCCCAATTACGTTTAATTAAATTGTGAATATTTAAGTACAAGAATGCACCGTCATGAACTACGCGATCGTTTGATAATGTTAGCTTTTAAACACTGCATGTTCCATTGAAGTTCTACAGTAGCCAATTTTGAACAGTGTCTTTGTAACTAAAGCCCAATTGCACTCAATTTCAAGCACTCTTTGTCCAATACTGTTCTCGTTCGAACATTGTAATCAAACTATGCCTGCAATCAACAAATTTTCTACAGTGTTTATATTGTTCCAGGGGTATAGCGATGTACGATCTGAACTGTGTGGAAGAGATACGCGAAAATCAAGATTTCGAGAACGAAGGCGAATCATTGTCCGGCACGCATAGCTGGAACAAAGGGTCCAATTGCACGGCCAGGATAGTAGCCTCGCAATTAGGGATAAACGAGCTACCGCGAGCCTCGTCTTCTATTTATCACGACTATAGTGCACCCTCTGATTCAGCGAATCGTGCCTCGGTCTGACCGGCTTCCTCTTGCAGTTTCTCTTTCTTCACAGATCTGTCTCTCGCAAAAAAAGAATCGTTCAAAAATCGTCCCGAGTCTTTGAACGATTCGAGAATATTTGTCTCAACAGGTACGATATTTCTTCCCAGAGGAATCTGTCGATGTTCTTCAGAACGTTGCAAAGTCTTCGGCCGGTGAGAAATCGTTGCACCTGTCAGAGAATGAAGAGGACAAATTTGTCATCGGTTAAATGTATCGAGAAAAACGTAGACACGGCGTCAAGAAAAAGGAACACGACGCGACGCGACGCTTCTCGAGCGAGTGTCGCGCGCAGACTGAAGCCGCGATTCCCGACGCGTTTCCACACGACTTCCAGCACGCGTTCTGTGCGCAGGGCTTGACGTTCGTCCCACACCCGGGCCCCTCACTTGGATACAACGCAACCCCTTGTCGAGGAGGATCAGCTTTTTAACCCGTTTGTCTTGGAGCTGTCGCGAGATTGACGGCGAAGTACGCTCGACCGAGCGGAAATCAACGTTTTGTATAGAGGTTCTGGCGTTAGTTAGGGGATGCTTTAAGTTAAGTAATGGCCCAACTTCGTGGCGACCGATGGCGGCTCATCAGGGGTGAATGATGCGAGAATTTTTATCGGAGACTCCGGCAAGAAGGTGGTCTATCAAAGCCTCACAATATGTTTCTACAAAACGACGATTTAAAATATCCTCTTCATAATATTTTACAACGCTCAGACTTTTTGATTCTTTTAGATCGTTGCCTTACCGACATTGTGTGATGCTGTTTTGTTCGTAAATGATAACACACTTTGAAGAAAAATGGAATTAAAATCCCAGGATGAAGGTGAAGAATAAAAAACTCGGGTAGATGACTGAAGTTTGCAGAAGAAAATGAAGTGGACGAAAGATTGAGTTTAGATATGAAATTAACATCCGGCAGAGAAATGGATTGCGAAGTCATGCTCGGGTAAGTTCCAACGTATGATAATAAGAAGTCTGTATATTCTCATGCAAACTTTCACATTTATTGTAGACAGAAGTTTGGAAACCGAGCTTGCACTTTTCGTGATGCGACGTTCGCGCGCTGAATTGCGCCTGTAGAAGTCTCGCTTCAGAAACGGAATCTTTAAAACCAAACACGGTGGTACGTAGATGGTATCTTGAAAGATGTCTCCAGTGAAAATGAAAGGAGCATGAAGTAATTACCCATTCTCATTTCCAAAGCACAAAAGGACGCGTCTCCGTAGGGAAAATAAAAGGCCCTCTTTCATCGAGGAGTATCAACAAAGGGCAGAAGAGGTAAAAAAATATCACGTGAAAAGGACTGTGAATACGCATCCCTTGGGAATGTTTGGTTTGCCATCGGACCATAAGTCGCTTCTAAATATAATGTCTGGGAGCCAGGTTAAAGAAGTCTGCTGCTTTAGCTGATCGTATTAACCCAGTTCTTATCGATCCCCCCTCGTACTCGGCCCACCGCAGGGTTTCGTCTCCTCCACACAATGTATGTTCGTCCAGGCTGCATTTGTGGTTGATTTTCTTTCCCCTTTACCATATGAGCGGTTGAATTGAATGAACGTCCCATTTCTGATTCCTACGCTCCAATTTCCTACACTCTCTCAGAACTTCCTCTTTGAAGTCTCCCCTAATCGTGGCGACTTTTATCGACCCCTTTACCATGCATCTGTATAAAGTTACTTCTCTGTTCCCTTCTGGTTCACCTGTGCGAACTTGGTTGTAGGTTCATTAACTTCTTAGAGAACACTTGAGATTCTAGCGAAGTAAAAAGCAATTTCAGGTAGCTATCGATCATCGCTATTTTGGAACTAGGCAAATACCGATTGTGTGATAATTTTTTTATCTAATCTTTAGAATGATTCAGAAAAGGCGTGGAGTCTCATGTGGTATTTGCAAACTGCTAACAGTTTAGACAGTTTTATTGTGATTCGTGCGTCAAGCATTATCCTTTCCCACCTAGTTGTCCTTCGAAAGTTCGAGAAGCTACGTAATTGGCAAAGTTAGTGAGTTTACAATCGGCATTATCTTGCATTCCTTTGATCTCCGGAGAATACCGTTTCAACTTCTCCAGGTAATTCTGCATTCGATCCTCGACAGAAATTTAAAAACAAGAGCTTCTTTAAAGTCTTATTATTAAAGTTGAAATTAACATGAATTAGAAGAAATTATATTTCTAATTTGAATTTCATTTTGGAGTCTTTCTAATAGCTCACTGCTTTAAATAATAATAAAATATTTATCTAGTTCAGCTGTCTAGAATAAGGTCGTATAAATATTTGATAGGAACCTTTCAATCTTTTTTAAATGCGACGATATTTCCCGCCTCGATGCACGAAAAAAACTATATTCCGAGAAACGAGAACAAAACGCTATTCCAAACACGAATTAACAATGTTCTTCGGCGTTTGTAACGAATTTCCACGAAATTGAAATGACCAAAAATTACCGTCAACCCGACTAATCAGACCTCGATTGAAAATACACCGATACGAATTTTCAGCGCGTAATTGAATTTTTTCGTCGTCGCTGAAGCATTCATTGATTTTCCATTTTTGTAGCCAGAATAAACAGAACAATTAGCAAGAAACGAGATTGGAAAGAAACGAATTATCGTAGGTTCGTATACGATGCTGACATTCGTCAAGCTGCAATTAATAATTCATCATTTTCAGAGTTAATTTTATGGGGAATGCATTGCTCTCCTGCTTCGTGTGTGCGCGATTTACTGCCGCGGCCACTGCACATGCGCTGAACTCAGGGCCGTCTCCTTCAGTGAAGCTACAAATATCTTTCAAGAATTTTTGTATTTTTCCAACTGTTAGGTAAAAAACAACATCGTTAGTATTCTTATTAATCTTTATTTATGCGCCTACACTAATTTTATCATTTTTTTTACAGAGTATTTGTTCCCAGAAACAATACCCGCACGTGAAAATAATTTATTTCCATTGTTTCTACGTGCCATTGTATTCCTCGTGCTTTTGCATGCAATGAAAATTGAATGGCACACACTATAATTCAAGAACGTACGTATTCACGTATTTCTGCTATTATGTACAGTTCAACTTATTTTTGAATAATCATTGTTAACTATATTACAGTTTAATGTATAATTATTTCAAAATATTTAAACTTAACATTCGAGTACATTAAAATAATGTTTTGTAGGATTGATACGAGGATAGTTTACATTCCTAAAACATCGTGGTTCTTGAAGAAAGTCTACGGGTCTGCATACTAGCCTACGGAGCCCGCATTGAAGGCAGTTCTCGTCTCACGATGGGACGGAGTCGTGGTTTTTCATGCGTTTTCGTGCGATTCGCGATTTTCGTGAGAGATAATCGCGAGTTTTCCAACATTTCGTCGATGTAAATCCACGGCGAATGCGGCATTCATAGGAACAGAAGATCTTTCGAAGGATTGAAGCGGTTTCACTGTGATACTGGGCGGTGTCAGGTTAGGTTTCGAGGGTAAGTCGCAATACCAACACAGGGTTCGTTGACAACCCATTATCCCGATAGCTTCCTGTATTTCTCCTCCACTGGCCCTACTGAATTTTTACAGTAGCACTCTCGACACGTATCGGTGTAATACGTTTTCCATGTATTCATGTAAACGACGCTTTAACATGCATCAGCGTCCATAGCATTTTATACGAGAAACATACAATTACTCACAAAAATAGCCGTCCACTTATCTTATTTAACAAACATTAAATTCGTAATTATTCAGATTAATTTCTTGATTAATGCACCTTAAATCACGATGCACTTAATTATTAAATTATGCATACACAAAAATATTGTTTGGGAAAATGGCAGAAAAACACACGCAAAAAAGTACAAGTGAATATTGTCAAGATTTTCATTTGTTTCCACTCTCTAAATATTTATGAAATGAAAATGCTCTTTCATAAAGCAAATATTGACTCTGGAGGGATGTTTCTGTTTGCATTCTTTTCTTACCTCCAAACATAACAATATTTTTGTAATAAATTATGTGTTGTTTCTTAATTAACTCTCTTGTCATTTACAACAAATTAATCAGACTGTTAAATTATAATTGGTAATTCTGAGTGCAGTAGTAATTAAATATGTAAAACGTGATATATGTATAGGGTGGGCGGATACGAATAAGCACAAGAATAAATAAGCTTCTTTGTAAATTATTTATGGGTCCATTGATTTTTCGTCGAATCGCCGATAAATGAAATTCAGTTATGACGCTGGATTGTACCGAAAATTAAATACTGTTTATATTAAATTATTGAAGCACAGTTGTATGATTTAAGAGTAAAATTTGATTAAACTTGGAAAGCACTGGGATCGAATATTTACCATCTTCCAATCTTGGAATTAAAGTTTAGGCCACGCAAGTGCAACCCCGGCGTCGAGCAACTTAAGAACGAGACAGTTTCAAGCATCGACTGTGTTTGAGGGATTATAACTTTGCGCATCCCCGTCCAGTGCCAAGATCGGCAAAGTTTCGCGTAATTCTGCGAGAAACTTTTCGCCAGTTTTGTCAGAATTTATACAACTTTGAAACCACCGAGCAAACTGCCGTATAAATCTTTTCCTTTTTACCTTTCAAACTCAGCTATCGTTATTTTCTTCTGCCTTTTATAGTACGCGTCGATTTTCGATAAAAGTGTCAAACACACTTAAACGTGCCTTTATGTTAGTAGATTAAATACCCAAATTTATGATCGTCATATATTGTTGAACGTTGAAAATTCTGAATTGAGATAAGCTGTAGAGGATCATAATTAAGAAGAATTTATGAAAGAATAGAGAAAAAGAGAACTCAATGTAAACGTTTAAATACACATGTTTCGGCGACTGGTAAATAATAGGAAGCCCGCGATTTATTTCACAGCAAAAACGCTCGGAACGCGTACATTGCCACAATTGTAAACGAAATTGTACGATATTAAATGTTTCCAATAGTCATAATTGTTTCATGGGAAAAAAGCATGGCAACAGTTCCGCTTAGAGTTTATTCAGCGGTTCCCTTTTGTGCACGGCATTCCACGAGGTTACCGAAGCGATGAAAAATTCCAGAAATGGGTTAAACTCCGGAAGAAAGCTCAGCCCAGGTGCTTTGTGTCGCACTTTATCCTATTGTTTCGTCTCGAGTTACGGTTTCTGTCTCTGGGCCACTTGTGACGAGGAAAGTTGCTAGTAATTAGATTCTTTTGTTCCGTTCTTTAGCGCGGCTTTTTTCCTTTCCCGTCCATTTATGGCGTTTAACATAGATAGAAATATGGGAAAATTATCAGGTATTGGAAACTCTTTACAATCGCTATTTTCAATTATTTCATATCCTTGTTCAAACTCATTTATGATTGCATTTAATTACAGACATGAAAAGAGTCGAGTCATAAAAGTCAGAAGATTACTGAAGAATACAATTACCACTTTGTTCACAGAAGAGGAATATTTAATTGTGAGACTGTACAACGTTCAAGATCCTTGATTTAATGTAAAAGCATAGTTTACATACTACGTTTAATTTAAAAACTTGTTAAAGTAATACGTTTGAACCTTTTACTGTAGTAAACGTAGTACTTGAAACTGTGCGACACCGTGTATACACAAAGTATATAATAGCTCCGAATTAATCGATCTGGTGAAAAGCGATTGGTCTTGAAAAGCTCTCCGTGCTAAAAACTCGGCAGCGGGAAAAAGGGCAAAAGCTGACTCGTTCTGATATTATTGATTCATAGTAAATCAGATCTGCTGAATATGTAATGGTTAATCGAGACTATTCCGCACAACTTGCGTTAAGTTCCTTTTGAGCGCACGGTAAAAGAGAAGAGCTTTTATTGAAATTCTGTGCAAATTCTGTCTCACCCTCTTCAGTATCGGTGGATATAAGTACTTTTATCTAGTGCACCAAGTGAAATAACATGTACAAATTGGTCCGTTTCCGCCGATATCGATATCGTTTTTCTGGTAAATGCACGTGTCGTGGTTTCTTTCTGATATTCGCCCGTTAAATGGCAAACAGAATCCATTTCCGTTCTCGATTTTACATATCCGATTTCCTTCGACTCCAAAGGAAGCTTGAACCTTTATGATCCGATATCTGCAATGCAACTTTTACTTGTAATGTGTTTTCTTTGTCCATAAGAATGGTTCGTTTATTTGCTGGAAAGCTTCCTTTATTAATTAATATATGCTTCAGTTGTCTGAAAACTTCCATTGTTAATTTAGCTGTTCTGTTAAAACAGTCTTTATGAAAACGTTGAAAATATTTTATGAATTGCTACCATATTCATTAATTTTCCAAAGCATTCAGCAGAGTAGGAACATCCGAACCTAAGTAGATTTACTTGCCTTTATTAAATTCAACCTTCAAATTAAATACTCGTTTGTTCAAACATTCTCTGACGTATAATTTACGTTTCATGAGTTGTGCAACACATAGGTTTCAAAATAAACGCTAGGACCATCCACATAAGGCTACGTTGACAAATTGGCTAATTTTACATGTTGTACGACTTCCGAAAGAAATGGTTATTGCGAATGTTGCGCGTAGCATTAACAAAATGTAATATGCAGAGAGAAAGCAGTGCGAATAAAACTGCGAAGCTCAAATACCAAAGCAAGCATTAACTCTGGCGCTCCGAGCTCTAACCATGAAAGCAAAGAAAAAGCACGTACATTTTTAACGTAGCGTTTTTTACACCTTGTTATTTAAACCGTACATTTCGCTCGAATTATTTTGCATTTAAAATCGTATTATATGTGTCCTCTCGTACGAATAAGATAATCGTGAAACATCAGATAAAAATATGGACAAGCGAGAATTTCTGTACTCGAGCGTGCACGAAATTTTCCGATTCCGATGCGCTGATAGCGAGCGCCATTATCTAATCTGTCGAGGGCAAGAAGTGTACATAGGTGAGCACTACGTGCATGCAACGTACTCGTTAATCGTACTTTTACAAGGATAAAAAGAGCGAGCAAATAAAAACCCTTCGATCAGAATCGGGTTTCGCGTGAGTTTTACTCGACCGCTCTCTTTATGCTGCTTTTTATGACCTAAACTTTTAAAGAGCGCTTTATTTTAAGGATTAATAATATATTCTTATTTGGAAAATTATAGTTCAATATAGACCTTAAATTATTTTAAGAAAAGTAGATGTATGTAAGTTAGTTATGATTTATTAATGTTTGTTCAAGCAAGGTGCAAGGAAAAACCGCAAAGCTGGCGTCGCTAACGGGTTGCGTCTCGACGATGGTCGACGACGAAGAGCAGGAAGAACTGAGGTGCACAGGCAGCGACGTCGAGATCGAGGAGTACACAGACACAGAAGAATCGCCATATGTTACTTATCAGACCACCGATAAGTTGTTCGATACGGACCGGGCGGGCTGGCAAAAGTTCAGCTTCATTGCCACTCTTCTGATCCTCGTCGTCTCCATCACCTTTCTGATTATCGCCTATCCCCTTTATCTGAACAGCATCAGCACTGTTTCGAACGCTTACACAGGTATCTTATCAGAACTGCGCAGAACTACAGTTTAATTATTCCCTGAATCATAATTACAAAATAATTAATTTGCCATAACTGCGTATTCGATAACATAATACATCATCAATAGCAGTTCCGTTTGTTATTATGATTCAGTGTAACATTGCCTCTATTTATAATTGGTTAACAAACAGTTTGTATTAATGACCAGAGTTTGATTTGTTTTGTAATGTAATACTGATCATAGAGGCCATGTTTGCTCATTTGCAATTAGTAGAATTTAACCAGGTTTAATGGAGTGCAGTAATTTATGTAAACGTTTTGTTAGGATTAATTTTTAGTGCCCTAAGCTCCACCTGCATCCTTGGAATCATATGGTTCATCGTCGAAAGAGTCTCACCACCACCTGCATTGATTCCAAACAGCATGAAAATAAAGATACCACGCTGTGCTCTGTTGAAGATAAGCTTGATCTACGCTTTCTCCGGTATCGTCGTCACCCTTTCTCTTGACCAGAACAAAGTCCTCTGCCACCTACAAGATCCGGTCAAAGGCATCACACTGGTCTTCTCTCTGGTCTACTATTTCTTCTTCTGCCGTAAAAGTAAGCCCCGCGATTTCGAGCTCGAAATTCCATTATTGTATTCCATTTAACACGAGGCAAACAAAGACGACAGAGAATCTCTATTGCAGTGATGAGCTTGCAGCGAATATTCTCGAGCACCACCATAATAGTAGGCTTGTTCATAAGTGTTGATTACGGGCTTTGCGACGAGTTTCGATGCAGAGGAAGAGAAGTTTCACCGCACACTGCTTCTGTAAGGGAGTCCTGGGGTGTAAGAGCTGTTTGGACTTTCGTCTATGTCGGTGCTCTTGCCGCTTTCGCTATGTTCTTCACTCTGCTCGAGGGTCATTACACCACGGAGGTGAGAGTTTAATTACTGCCGGCGCAAAAAGAAAGACGCTATTTGCTTCTGAAGTTACATGGCTGGTATCACTCGACAGTAATTGGAAGCTAAAACAAGGTCTTAAGTCTCTTCTGTTTTTTTTTACAGCAACAAAACATGTGCCATGTAATGGCGAATCAGCAGAATTCGTTTCTCTACACGGTGTCGCGTTTGGTGTCTTCTCGAGACATCCGCAGACGTGGATCCGAAGAGGAAGGAGGTAGACTGCTTCACGTGACGGATCCTGATCCTACGATCAAGCCAAAGCATTTCCCGAAGCCTCCGATTCTTGAGACTCTCTTTTACATTCACTTAATCGCGTTCTTCGCTATTCTGACCATGTGTTGGCTCGACACTTTACCGGGAATAGGCAGAGTAAGTCAAATCTTATCAATTGTTTGTCTTTTATTACTTTTGTTTATTCCGATTGTCTTTTTCTAGGGACTTTCACCGGTGGAACTGTATCGTACAGTCGAACACGGGTTAACGTGCCACTTTAAAAACACAGAATCCTGCTCAAACATTTCTATACACGGATGGACCTTCCTGACTGCGTACACGATCTTCTCAATTTCTGTATTAAACTTTTTATCTATGTGCGAGAGCGCTGTCTTTACCGTCGCCGCCGCTACTGTTTCTCTTCCTCTATCTGGCATTTGGTGGAGCATTTATAAAATGGACATCGGTGTGCATGGTGGTAAGTTTGTTGCTACAATGTTAAAAATAAATCTTTATGAACGGAAACAAAATAATTAAAATAGGTTTTATCTCATGGTCACCGGGAGTCACGGGAGAACTTATCTGCGCCCTTCTTGGTCTGCCTGTGGTCCTTCTGGGATTGGGTTTACTCGTCAGATCACACTTCAGAGACACTCAATCTTCTTACTTGACCATGCAACCACCTGACGTGCAATGCGATCCTTCTCAAAGATGAACTTCTTCTCGTAAACCCTCGTCGACCTTTCCTTCGATTGAAATCGATACAATCAAGGGATTCGTTTGATCAAATTCTGGAGCATTAAAAAGTTTGTGTTTTAAACAAGAGAATAAAAATATCGACGTGGAGGGTAAGATGCGAGCAAAAGAAATTCCACGATCAATACACGATAAAAAAATCTGTGTAAAAATGCGTTCAGAGATGATTTTAAACTAGACTGACGAGTGACCCAATTAATTTTCTGTTTCGTGATACTTCAGTTCAAGGCTTCCAATGAAACCATTGGAGCATCGTTCTTGTAACTCGTAGCGGATAAATGGTACAAATGTTCGGGACAGTCATTTTGCTCCGTGAAATTAATCAGATGAATTTTTGCAAAGTTTCTTCTCTGAACGCGCGAGAAAAACTTTCCTGTACAGTTGTGATAGGGGTGTAGGGTTGGGGGGAAGCGATAATATTGATTATCTCGTGCACACGAAACCGAATAAAAAGAACGGAGAAGGAAGGAGAAAAGCGATCAATGTTTCCTATGTATTGCTAGCGTGAACATCCGTCTAGCCACACAACGTTATTGCCAATTTATATTTTATTTTGATAACGAAATATTTCATATTTTCGAAAGAACGTTCTAATTACACGTGTTATAACATGTACAAGAAAGTATGAGTGTGTATGAGTGAGCGAGAGAAAGAGTACTAAGAAAGAGGTACAGAAAATATTTTATAAAACCAACTAGAGTGCACTGTTTGAACGAAAGTTACACATAAAAACAATGCTCAGACGCGGTGTACTTGTTACCGTAAATTTGGTACCCACAAATAATTACCGTATGCGAAAATCTAAGCACAACCTTTCAAAGATCCACTTCAATCTTTGCTAATGCTGCATTCACAGACTCATAAAATTTCTATCGAAATCGGAAAATTCTGAAACATTCCTAACGCGCTCATTTCAACTTTGTAATCTTTGATTCGATCAGTGCGTTGCATTTGCTGAGAGAAAAGAAAGAGTGCCACATGGCAAGGTTTACAGTATTATTTGTCAAATTGAATGCGTGTGTGGAAGCACAATTTTCTGTCAGGAACTTAGCTTGTGTTAATTAAAATTAGAAAGGAAATTGTTTAAGATGAGTTCCTCTTGTGACAGGTTCTTAACTTCAACATGCAGATCTCTTTTATACTCATCAAAGTTTAGTTATATTTATAGATATATTTTTGTTTGATATATTTGTTATAATCAGCGTATTTATTAATGTATTTATTCTGCACTCGAGTATTATAGTAGACATAGAGAGTGTTTCTGAAACAACTGTCATGAGTAAAAGCACAATTTTATCGATGTAAGGATTAGAAACCTTGCACACAAATGTTTTTATTTCCAACTAGAGACTTCTCAGACGCACTTCGTTTGTCTGTAAAAAATTAGACAAGTATTTTAGAAACACTTTTAATCACAAGGTGCGTATACTTAAGTCTTGTGACTCTTGTTTTTCTACTAACTATCTGAACTTCAGAGCACTGAGTTCACCGCAGAACGGTAGATGAATGTTTTTCTTTTTCATTACCGACTAGTCCTACTCCTCCTTCTCCCCGGACTGACACAAGTCCCCAAAATAAAGCCCGATGAAAACTGTCTGCGTGAAATCAAAAAACAAAGTTCGAAAGTGGCTGAAATATGCAAATTCGTGCCAAATCATCGAGTCTTCTCTATTATGCGACTCGTTACGTAGGTGTTAAGCATATTCGAACCCATATTAATAGCGATACAAGTAACCGTGAACCGTAATTAAGTATCGTTGTTCGCGTGAAGCGTTTTCTCGTGCGAAGTAGTTTATTGTTGGCAGCTGAGATGCTAGAAAAGTAAGAGAGAGGAATATTTGTTGTTGGAAATACGTCAATCATATTCTATCGCAGAAGCTATATATACGTCCACGACTTTTTTACACCGGTAATAAGCGTTCCAACCATAGTTGTATCAAGATCGAAGGAAAAATGAACTCACGAACTACCATTTTTGATGGACAATATTTTAAACCATTTAAAAAATTACAGTACTCGATTTTACTTTAATCAATGTTGTAGTTAGAGTTATTTTGTGTATTCATTATTGTTAATTAACATCATGTAGCTTCGTGTTCTATTTTTTATATGAGTTCATTTTTCCGTCGAGTCTGTTAGCGGCTACAATAATAACGACGAAACGAGAGAAACAATAACGAACGTACTACTACTATATTATTACACTCTAGTCGCAGTATTTAATCGTATATATGTATACGTATATATACAATACATACGTTGTTACGAGAGGTCATTATACAACTATGAAGGCGAGAAAAACCGTTTCAATTTGTAGCTTTCTTATAATCGACCAGTGGTAAGCCGAGTTTCTTCGAAGCGTTGTCACGCGACGAAGAAAATGATTCTGAAGCTTTTAACGAAAGACAAAGTAACGTTGTTCTTATTGTCGGTATATAAGAAGAGATTCTTACAAATTGTGCCTGTGAAAGCTGGGCAGAAAGCAGGAGAATCATTTTCGTTGTGGATTCGCACAAACTCATTGTGTTTATCGCGCGACGTAGGCTTCTTATAGATAAGCATAATTATCGGGACATTGTTTGCCTTTAATTTTAGAAGAACTTAGATCTTAAAGAGATCCTAGGAATCAAACGAAACTAGAGAAAAATACTAACGTAGGATGTGCTCACGTATAAAATATGACAAATGATACCCTCTTATCTACTGGAAGCCACGCGACTGCACTTCAAAGGTCGTCATCCCCTTCGGGTCTCCTTCTGATTGTTCCATAAAACGTTGTTCAATTGCGCCCGTTGTTATTGCATAAATAATCCAGAATGTATTCTTGTATACGGTTCCCAGTTACTGGCTTCTGATAGTGATTTATTTTTTTAATCAAACAACGACCTTGAAGGGGTTGACCGATCGAGGACTAGCCAGATGATCAAACGAAGCAGAAACGATTTTCTGTTGCAATAACGTTATCGCTTGACGGTTTATCTGGTTGGCAATCGAATATTTTTGTAAAAATTAGTGCGATTTCACACGGACCGTAATTAGCGTACGACGCGTTAATTTACCGCGAAAATGTGAACACGCGTTTCGCATCTCTTTCAGATAGACGCTTTATAAAACGTAAAAACTGTCTACCAGCGATCAGCAGTGCCGTATATATTTATACTGGGTGTCTTGCCCGTGGATATATCGTTAACGATATACTCCGAGCGTAGTTCTTATCGTAATCACGTCAACCTTCCTGCACGCCAAGATTATTCTACCAAATAATTTTAACTTGTAAGCTGTCTGTGAAATTGGTTTGAGCCATGACTATGGAAAATTATCTGTTAAGTTTTACAAAGAATTTTTTTGGCATTCAGAATGTTGGCAAAGAATCCAAAAGTAGCCATTTTCTGTTGTGCAAGTATTATTTTCAATGACAATTATGTCCCTCCTCATTAAAAGGAAAGAATGTATTCTTTAATGTTAAAAGAATTTGATAAAATTGTAATGGCCACGTAAATTTTAAGAATCAAGAGCCAGCCAATGAAAAAGAATAATACCTCAAAAGAGATAAAAGGGAAAACGCATTGTCGCCGGTATATTTGGATTCATAATTACGCTCAATATATTCACTATATTCAACAATTATGTACCAGATTGTAAATGTGTTAATACATACATATATATATATATACTTATATAAAAAAGTGAGACTCGTCGGAGCTCATCTTCTTTCCTACTTATCCACTTAATTATAGAATAACAAGATCAGTTAAGTTACAGAAAGCGAGGAGCTGCTAACGAAGTTAATTATGTATGAAGCAGTACTGCGCGCTTTGCATGAGGATAGTGTAAGATCTCTTCAAACTGCTTGCTGCTGGAGTGAAAACTACTTCTTAAATTGGACTGCTGATTTCTTTGCTATGTTCCCTCCTTTTTCTTTTCATAAAGGTACCTTTTTCTAGTTAACCTTTAATTCAAATATTTATTTTAAACTCTACAAAGCTTCATTTTAAGGAACTGTAATTTATAGGTGGTGAATTTTCTTCAGGGAAGCATCATTGCATCAAGGCGGACGTAACATCTTTTTCATTTTTACATTTTCTCTTTCTTTTTCTCTCTTTTCATGTTACATTACTTTACATTACTTTTATTTTACACTATCATCTATTTCAGATAACTCAGAGTTTGAGGCATTGCAACCTAGCTGTCCTGTGAACGTCGCCTATTCTCTCTGCCATTTTTTTACCAGCACAAGAATAATCATCGTACCGAACTTCGTGTAGGATCTCGAAACTCAGCGTGTCAGCGATTCTTTGACTGTAATTCGAAGCGAACACTCCGTAAATCAGTTCTGGAAGCACATGGTCGTCCATGACTCTTCCATCGATCGATCTTCTTTTCACTGTACCGTTCAAGAGCCCTCGTGCAAACTCGATGCACTTTCGCACCATTTGACAACCGATCCCGCGGCCTTGATACCGAGGATTGGTGCCAAGATAAAAGAGTTCCATTGCTCCGTTCGCGTTGTACTTTTTGTAAATGTCCACCTTCGTTTCAATCTATGATTAGAACGAATACGTGCATTAAAAATATCGCTGTGTAATTAAACAGTGTTCGAGTCGCGAGAGAGAAGTTGAGGAAAATTTTTCAAACGATTACGTATTTATCAAAAATACTCTTATCGTTAATGCAATGTAAAAACATTCCATGCGATATGATTGTTCAGTTCAAAAATATTGTGTAAAAAGTATATCAAATTTTGATAGCATTTGTCACTGTATCTTGCACCTACTGATTTTGCTAAACAAAGATTCAATACTCACAGCATCGAGAAACTTGACTAGCTCTTGACACGATTGGTGCTTGAGGTTCTCTTCCACGGAGATTTCAAACGCATCTTTTTCACCTTCTCTCGGTCGGCCCTTCAAGTAGAGAAAAACGTTCACAGCAAACTGCAAAAATTGACAAGTGATCTAATTGATAACTTGCGTGTATCTTGTTGAAGGCCACTGCCGCCAGTTCATTTGTTTCTGTGTCAACAGCGATTATTGTGGTACCGTCTTTGATGATTTCTCTGAAAACCAATTTCATTGCTTCAGGTGCGCCCGGCTCCTCAAACATGCCCACACCTATTGCCAAACATTCTTGTTTCATAGTTTCACTCTGAATGTTCAAAGCCTCCTCGACCTTATCCTCTGTAAGCAACTTGAACTCGAGCTGGCCTTTTGAAGCTAATGACATGGCTGATGATTTGCAGACACCACTTAGCTAATTCAGTAGAAAATTGCACTTCGGCTTCGCTTAAACGTCTGCAACTGTTTGATTTATGCTATTCAAAAGGACATTGATAAAGAACACTGTACGTTGAACTCAATGACTTTGCAAGCAAACTTCAAAATCACACGACAATCATCGCGCATACTAACTCAATGACAGAATGAAGCTAGATCCGAGCTAGTTGCTGCATTCAACCTACACATTATTAGAGCTTGTGTTGATACAACTAGTGTCTTGATAAGCGTCTATTATCCAATTACTGTCGAATGAAAAAATGTTCTCGTTATCTGTATGCAAGTCGTTTAGGCTGAAGTAGCTAGGCCACTGTTATCTTTAATTTTAGACTTTCTATATTTAGGTCGTCATAGACGGTGCTTTCAATTTCCGATAAAAAGATACTTAGGACAGTTTTAAAAACATTCTTTTTATTCGTGTAGAGATATCTTTACAAAAATACGGGGTAATACTTGTTTATAGAAGTACAAATATTAGGCTACCTCTGATTGCATAAAATATTAGTAAACGTTCCAGACATTTACCCATTGTATTCTCAGATATTTACTTATTGAATTTTGATTCATAACTTATATAGTCAATAAGGTTTGATAATATGAATCACAACATATTACATAAGTAAATTGTACAATTTTCCAAAATGTGCTTATGTAATCTATATGATATATCCCATTGATACAGCTAATAATATCAGTGCTTTGTAATAAATTAGTACATTCATCTTTAAGCTAACTTAACATAATCTTTTAGCAGCTAGAACACAATTTTTATGCTCGCTCCCTATTCTTTCACTGAAAGTCTTCTCCTTAAATGAGAACTCTTCATAGTCGACACGTACCAAACTCTCGAATCCACACTTTTGCATTATCTTCTGAGAGTAGTTAGAAGTCATGATCGCAGATATCAAACTAGGTACCGCGTCTTTATTTTGTATACTATTATCACCGTTAACTGTAACAGGCGTTTTCACTGATTTTCCCCTTTTCAGTTCTTTAGCCAGCTCTATCGAGGAAGACACCAACACTTCTCCGACCCTGCGCTTTTGTTTGCTAGGCAATGTCGCCAGAAACATGATCTCAAAGATGCAGTCTGTATTGTAGTGCTTGAAGAGGTCTATCCTAGAGTCTACGTTCACCATGAAGTCAACCAAAGCTTTTGAAGATTCGTACTTGCAGTTCTCACTGAATATTTCAAAGGCACTCTTCTCTGTTGAATTCTGAAGCACCTACAAGTAACAATAAACCTTTAAGTACCACGATCAACTTGTTAGCATTGAACTTTATCTTACCTGCATTTTGTTGAAGGCAACTCCAATAACTTCACCATTGGCCACATCAATAGCCACAACACTGATTCCATCCTTGGCAGCGTCCAAACAGAGTTCCTCAAGTTCCTTTGAAGCACCTGGTTCCGACAGAAGATCTACGCCCCTGCAAACACTCTCATAGATGAAGAAACTATTTCTTATAACGTTCAGGGCACCTTCGAGAGTGTCGTCCGTTAAAGATTCGAATTCAATGGCCCCGTCCTCTATGGAGCCCCAGAAGCGATAGGGCGGCATTCTGTTTCTGGTCCTGGAAAAATAATTAGATAAATAGTTTTGAACAAATAGTACACAATATGTCACGAAAGATAATGTTCTAAGAGCGTCAATTATTATAAATTATTTTGTAGTGAGAATGGTTTGTGAAAGTTAGTGCTTGAAACGTTTGTTTGTCTCAGTGTGCTGCTTCTTACCTCATGGTTGAAGAAAGACCTGTAAGCGCTGACGGATCACGGTAAACTGACCGTTATCGGCTAACTGGTCGAGACTATAAGGAATGTTGGTATGCGCGATTGCACACTATCATACAAACGGTGTGAAGTTCAGTGTCCCATGCAGTGAATGGTAAACAATTTACCACAAATGTCACAATAAATGTTTTATTACTTCAGATAATTATATTTTCTTTGAGCTAAATTCATGATGACTTATTATAAACAAGCTCAGGTATTTCTTTCAATTATTTCATTTTATTTTACTTGAGCTGTTAAATTAATTGCTACTTGAAAAGTTTAAGGTGCAAGGATACTGGAAAATTTCTTGGAATCAAATGAATCGCATTACGTTTGATAACAATTGAAGATGGTTGAACAATGCATGAGGAACACGATATGTGTGGCGAGTGAGAATCAGCGAACCATGTGTTACGTGCAAGACCTTAGCAACGGGAGGAATGAAAATATATTGGAGATAAATTTAAATTATCCCATAGGGAGTTCACAAATCCGTTATCTCCGTACGCATTAATTAAGAACTTCATTCAACAGCGTCCACTATTACTAATTACTGCCTTAAACATTACTCTCGCGTATATCTCTAATTTCGAAGATAATATTCTACTAAAAATGTTGAGCGCATTTTTATATATCTTCCGTAAATTGCAACTATAGAATTTAAACTTTGCGTTAATATTATGACCGCAAGAATTTATTTTTAGTCGATTTGCATGGCCGCAATAATAATTGCGTTAGCAGTTTTAGCAACTGTACTCTGATATTCAGCCAAAAAGTTGTTCTCATATTAAATTTTGCAGTACAAGAATAATTGTATGTCAACGATACTAAATTTCATATTTAATCTATTTTCGAAAATTGGACAATTCTATTAGACGTTTAAAAAAATACGAATATCATAATTAGAATGGAACTGTATGACATGGAAGATAAAGTCGCTTTTAAGTACACAGTTGCTTTCAAATCAATTACCGAGAACTGTCGCTGATAACAGCGTGAATATGCAGCGATAACGCAAATTATATTACCAGTACGAGTAAATTTTCGTAATAATATTAAAGCTATCATTTTAATCAGCAAGTTACTTACAATGATCGTTTTCGTTTTCGTTTTGCAGGGAATGCAGATACAATTTTGCAAAGCACGATTGTGCACTGAACAGTAATACCAGCGAATTGCAACGCGAAACACTACAGTAATGCTTTTTTATGGTCTGCCGCGCGAAAAGGAGGTATTTCCATTCGCGGAGCCTACAGTATGAAATGCAAAGGTACTTCCCAGGATAATATTACTAGAGAAAATACGACGTTGATTTACTATATTATATAACTATTGGATAGCAAATGTTCCTATGAAGTATTATTAATCATTGGTCGATAAAACATGAGCTTAGTGAAACAGTCTGTTAAACTAGATAATTTACTACCAGGAAAATTGTACAATTTCTACTCTTTGATTTGAACAACTGGGGTAGAAAAAATTACATTACTTGTACATCCTCAATTATTTATTTAAATAATTTTATTGTAGGTTTTACGTAAGTTGTAACACCATGACAGAAATAATATTATGTGGAGGGGTGTCTTGAAAAATAGGTCGTCCTTCAGCATCCCTGTAAGTTAAGAGATCAACGTCCATGACGCTCTTTAAACCAAGAGCCTCTGCCGCTTTTTTCGAGTACAGAGACGTGTATACTCCGAATATAAATCCAGCATCCTGGACCTTATGTTTCGCAAACGATATTCCTTCAGTCATCAGCGCTCTCGAAAGACCTTGCTTACGGTAATTCTTATCTACAGCAACCGCGTAGAATTCTACGGCTGCTTTAGCATTTGGAAATTTATCGAACAGTTCAGCCTTGTCGCTGATTTCGGATAGATAATTGAAGTATTCTTTCATTAATCTCGTTGTAGGAGGATTGTTGGTGAACGCCGCAGAAACTCCATCAGCCTTATCGTCGAACTTCGAATTTCTACTGACGATCATGAGGTTTACGCCGATTATCTTCGACGATTTTTCCACAGCAATCAGGCAGGGTGAAAAGGCAAAGATCGCTCGGATTAATCTTTCGTGATCGATCCTCATTAGTTCCTCGTCTTCGGCTGTTAGACAATTATTATCTCGTAGGCTCTTCAGCATAGTTTCTTCTTTATCAAAGTTTTCGTGTAAGAAAGATAAGATTTCAGGCAAGCGACAATTCGTTGCCCATTCAATATTATATGAAGTCATTGTTGGTTCTATCTTCACGTTGATTATTTTTTTTTTATATTCTTATTCTTTGGTAATTTAATCTACGTAACCTATAATTATTAATTTGTATTGCAAGCAGTAATAATATCTTACAGTCTCATATTTTTGGTACACAGTTTCAGATACACTCAACACATTCATACTACACGTGCGTAAATTCTTGGAATCTAGCTTAAGCAATATATAGGTTCTTATAGTGGGTTAGTGATTGGTGAGTTGTATAATATACATACAGGCGTACGTACGATGACTTCATTGATAATTCTATAATTCATTATTACTGTTCATTCAGTAGAACATTTATACTATAGTTAATAACTTGTTCATATTTCAGGAAACCTCAATACTATAATTTAGTGAAGATTCATATTTTCAAGGAAGAATTAAATTTACATTTATCACGAATGGTTATTGAACGTTTTACTAACGTAGTACTATTACGTTACTGCGTACTACACGATTCATGACATTTCACAGACTAATCTATAATAAACAAACATCGTAAACATTAGTATTACGTAAAGTTTTGTTTGTAAAAATGGATTCTGTTTGTAGGCGCATTTTCGAACATGCTTTCCCATTTTCGCGGCAGTTGGTACAGCTGCGCGAGCGCAGAACAAGCGCGACAACAAAATAAGATGGCTGACCAGCGAAACAAATAGAGCGCCGTTGTAAATAACAAACCGTCCGAGTAGATTCCGAAAGAGAATTTTCGACGAGAACGCATGGTGCACGATAGACTGAAAGCGCCTCGGTGTTGCCAGTTCGTGTTTCCACGGCGTAGGTCGTCCGTACGAGAAACAACGTGCAACCGCGAGTTCAGCCACGATTCACCGTTGAATGCGTCACGCGTGTGCACGAAAATCAAGGAAAGCAACAAATCGAGAATCACCATCGCCAGGATGCAATTGCGAAAGCGAAGCTACCTCGCGCCACGTCTCTACCTGCGGCTCGCCTAGCTCCTCATGCTAGTCTCGTCTTCCGAATTGCTTGGAACACAGCATGAAGGAGATGCTTGGAGGGTGCTGCGTGTGTTCTGACGAGAGGGGTTGGACTGAAAATCCGTTGGTGTATTGCGATGGTCAAGGTTGCACGGTTGCCGTACACCAAGGTTTGTTTTCATTGTTTCATGTAAGGTAATATGAATTGAATCGTGTACGTCAAGTCATCAACTACGATACTACTAATGATTTTGCAGCTTGCTATGGTATCGTCACAGTGCCAACAGGACCATGGTACTGCAGGAAGTGCGAATCACAGGAACGTAGTGCCCGTGTGGTAAGTACAATAATATTCTCTATGAATAACAATGAATCGGAAATGTATATTGCTATACCACCTAATAGCGCTGTGAGTTATGCCCGAGCCGTGATGGAGCTCTTAAGAGAACAGATCAGGCTGGCTGGGCACACGTGGTTTGTGCATTGTACATACCAGAAGTTAGATTTGGTAATGTGACAACTATGGAACCGATCATTTTGCAACTTATACCGTCGGAAAGATTTAGTAAGGTAAAGAGATCGATGATAATTCATTTTGGATACAGTGTTTATAGAAGTAGTTGACCTTTGTATACAATTGTTAATTGTTTCAGTCGTGTTATATATGTGAAGAACAAGGAAGAGGCAGTAGAGCAAATGTAGGAGCCTGTATGCAGTGCAACAAGACAGGCTGCAGGCAGCAATTTCATGTTACGTGTGCTCAGGCTCTTGGCTTGCTCTGCGAAGAAGCTGGCAACTATCTTGATAATGTTAAATATTGTGGATATTGCCAGCATCATTATTCAAAATTGGTTAGTTTTATTAGTTTTTAATAAATCTTTGTGTTTGTCGATTGAAGTAACAAATATCGCAATTTTTAGAAAAAGGGTGGTAATGTAAAAACCATACCACCTTACAAGCCAATACCTGCAGATAATGGCTCATCAGATTCGTCGCCAGAAAAGGAAGCAGAGACACCAATAAAATCTTCATCAAGTGGTAAAAGAAAGAGTTCAAGTTCCAAATCCACTACCAATTCTAAAAACAAATCCAATACTAGTCCAAGTCTAGAAATAAATGGCGTTGCTGACGACAAAAGCAGCAGCGGCCGTAATACACCCAAAGACAGCACCACAAATTCCAGTAAATTCACAACTTCCAACTTCGTAGAGACAATCGTCACCCAATCGGAGAGTGTGTTTGGACATGATGGCACTACTTCCACTACCGCAGTAGCCGCTACGACGATTAAATCAGGATCGAATTCGAACTCTGGCCATAAAAACAGTGGACAAACGAAATCGAACTCCTCGTCGTCGAACAAGACGTCGAGTCACAGTAAAAAGAGAAAAACGGGAGCTCGTACACCAACAGTGATAGGAAATGAAAATTCGAACCAATCTGTCAGCTCGGAGGCCAGCGGATCGGTTGTTGTTGCTGTCAGCTCCATTGTTCAGCAAGCTGTTTCGAGCAATAACATACAAACAACAATTACGGAAGCGACAAGCTTAAGTACAACTACCGAACCGGAAAAGTCAAAAAAGGTAAATCGATTTTTAAAAAGACGTGCATTGTGAATTAGGTATCTGTAATTTGCACTTATTAATAGTTGAAGGTTGAAAGCCCAATTCAATCGTCAAATACTCCAGTCACTACGGAAGCGACTACTACACCTGTGATAATGACGGTAACACAGTCTCAATCATCGACTGTTGCCCAATCGCCGACAACTACTTCAAACAGTATAGTTGTATCTGTTCCATTGACGGCAACTTCTCTATCTAATACGGTGCAGAGCGTAGTAACAAGCGCGCCAACGCTTTATCAGCAACTACAGCAAAGTATCATCACCACTGCGGCTAGTATGGAAGCGAGAGCAAACGCTGCTGCATCGAATTCTGAAAGATTTTTACCAGACGATGCACCTGCTAAGAGATCTCGGTAAGTATGATCTCTCAAGATAAATTTATAGGTATGTTTTGTTAAGATTTGAATAGCATCAATATCTTCTATGCAAAATAAACGTATTACATGTAATAAAATTTTCAGCTTAACAATAGAGAAAAATGTTTACTCTTATTAAATATGTATATATGTATGTAACATGAAAGTAAATAACAAAGCTGTGGATTTGGGCCTACGTTGTATCTAGCTTGAAACGAGCGCCAAAAGGTGGGATATCAAAATGGCTGACTCTTTTGATAAACAAGCATCTTTGTTTTTAACCTCTTCTTATATATCATAAAAGTCATTAGATAAATTGAAAAATATTGTAATCTGTGGATTCAAAACATTGTGTGGAATATCATTTCTCCAAAGTTCAATTGATTTCTCTAAACTATTTGAAAAAAATTGTTCCAATTGAAAAACGTTTATAATGGTATTGTGCACTTCATGGTTACAGTAATTAATGAAAATTTTCATTGTTTTGCATTTGTTTGGTATAAATCGTAGAAAATCATCAGTGGGGCCTAAATTCTAACAAACAACCGTGATTAGTTTAACATTCTGGGTTTCATCTGTAATTATAAGAATACTTTGAGGTTATGTTTGTTTTTTCTACCTCAAGGGGCCTCAAGGGCAACGAACGAAGGAAAGGAGTAACGTGATATTATAAATGACACTGTGTAACGGTTCGTTTATTTTGCATTTTGTACAACATTGAATTTTATCTAGTAAATTTACATCATTGTAGATGTATAACTTACATAAGTTTCACTCTATGATATTTTTAATCTTTCACTTTTATTACCAAATCTTAATACTTGCTTCATTCTTTTTTATTCTATAATTGTTGAAAGTATAGATAAATGTCCTTCATATCACATTTCTTATATTACGTAATACTTATTTAAAGTAAAGGACTCAATTGAAACAGTTACATAAGTAAGCATGAGTGTATTATTTTTTTAGTTCCCAGTCGTCAGATAAACAAGAAAAATCTCGAAAGCCAAAGCGTGGATCATCAAACAGTCAACCAGCACTGCCCCAAACGCAATTACAAACACAGCCGCAACAGCAGCAGCAGCAGCAATCCCAGCCATCAGCTTCTTCCGTTGTAACATCTGTATCCAGCAGTGCAGTAGTAACGACGTCCAAACGAAGTGGAAGAAGTAACCATCAAACTCCTCCACCTGCTATAACTGTTGCACCTGTACCATCCATTATTCAAGGACCGACGTTAGGCACTGGTCACTTCAGTAGCATTAATTCTGGTTCCGCGAATGCAATGGGTCCTACCGTCAAAGAGTCTCCCCCAAGTAGTCCCGGTTCCGAGAGCATGAGTAGTAATGGACCAGGCAGAAGAAAGAGAAAAAGTGCTAGCGCAGCTTCTACGACACCTACGCCTTCAGCGTCGAGTACCCCAACGCTTACAAATCCTAAAGAAGAGAAAGATATTAAGTTGTAAGAATCAAAATTGCTGCAATGATATTTGCGGTTCATATTCGTTCGTGTTCTAATTCGAATAACACGACAGGTTTCAGAATGGAGTTAGCGCACCTCACATGTTAGGAAATCAGTTGAATCCAACATCAACAATGGCACAAAAGATGTCTGACACGCTATCGCAGGAGCTAGAAGCGCACTCTATTTTTACAGAAGCTAGTAATTCTACGACGAATTTAGTTGGCCCACAGCTACACAGTCGAGTAATAGCCTCTGTATGTATTTCTAAGAATATGTATTGGAGAATAATGAGCTCCGTGATTCGAGCTTCTTCTGTCTTAATCGTATATTGTTTTACAAACAGATACGATCCAATCAAACAGGTGCACCGCCCACATCGTTTTCTTCAGTTTTTAATACAAATAGCAATACAAACTCCAACCTCAATGCCAATAGTAATACAAGTACCAATATTACCGCTACCGGTTCTTTGGGAGGTGGAACAATACCTCAAACATTGGATCAGCTTCTGGAAAGACAGTGGGAACAGGGAAGTCAGTTTTTGATGGAGCAAGCCCAACACTTTGACAGTGAGTGTACGGCAAGGAAAAACATGCTTTTAGTCGCATGGGTTTGGTGAACATGGGGATCACATTTCCTTACTATTATTATTATTTTTTTTTTTTTTTTTTCTTCAAGTTTGCATGAATGCGTGTATGTATTGCATCTTTTTGATTGGCAATGTGTAACATACAATGAAATGTAAAATGTGGCTTCTTGGCTCGTCGAATTTAACATCTTTTGGACATATCGAAGGAAAACGATTAATTATATTATCAAATTTTCTTTACAGTTGCTTCCCTACTTTCGTGTCTTCACCAATTAAGGGCAGAGAATCTTAGGCTAGAGGAACATGTAAATAGTCTTTTGCAAAGGAGAGATCACTTATTGGCTGTGAATGCTAGACTTGCTATCCCACTGACGACTCAGCCTAGTGCACATCCAGGTACTTTATTCTTCCCATTTGTTTTCCAATGCCTATTTTATACTTTAATCCAAGGTTTAATCTTACAGTAAATAACATACATCCAACCGTCAACCCGTCGCATCCTAATGTACCGCATCCTGAAGTTCCTCCAGGAGCTGCGGCGCCTGTTCCGAGAGTGAACCGGGAACCTCGAGTAAATAACACGTATATGCCACATTCGAGCGCCAGTAATCACTCGACGACGTTAGAGAACGGATTACCTCCGGATCCTTCTCCTCCAGCCGCTGCTTCGCTTTCTCAGTATCAACACCGGACATCGTTGGTTGCTCCTCAGCCGAGTCCAACGATCAGGTAACGTATTTGTCTTTCGTGCAACGAACAGTAACGGATACTGCAAAATTCACTTTTTGTTGCCATCCTTGCGAACAGACATAGTCCAGCTGGGAGCGCGTATCATCAAGGACAACCAAGCAATATAGTATCCCCAGCACCGGCTGGCAATTCCGGAGTGGTGAGAAATTCGTCCGTCACACCGGATCCCGTGCGTGGAATACCAAGGTAATACCAAGGGGATCGATACTAATTCATGTTCTCTAATTATAAGAATATTTTGACCGGGGGTTTAATACTTTAGGTCAGTGCCACAGTCATCGAGCAATTACATGCCTTCGATGTATCAACCCACTGTGTCCAGTCTCGCAAGTAATCAAGTAGGTAATGTTCATAATCTTCACTCACATGGACCTTCTCCACCCAGCCATGGACCACCAGGGAAACCTAGCTGAAGATAGATGCAAACAGCGAGCGAAGAGCGTGCTGCATCCGTTGACCGACGTAATAGTAATAAAACTTGATCAGAAAAGGACAGGGAATTCGTCTCATCCGCAAGATCGGCTTTACGTGCTTCTTCAACGAATCGGTTCCGATTAATACAGTTGACTGGTCTCTGTTCGATTAATCGATCGGTGGTTTTACAATTGCATTAACAGGACAAAGACTAACACCTTTAGACAGGAAGAAAATATTTGCATTTATCGTTTAAACGACGCGTTGTTCATAATTTTATTCGCTCGCGAATAAGGGCTCGTGAATACGCATGTTTTCGCATCCACATTTCCATTGTTTTTCCTCAAGATGAAATTCAGTTACAGTAGTTTAATTTCATACGCATTAAACGTCACAATGACAAGCAGTAAAAATAGAGGCCTTGTAGTTTAAAGGAAAAAAAAAACAGTTCTAGACGTAGAGAATATTGGTTCTTCCGTTTCTCCTTGGTTAGACGTTGTCGAGCATGTCTGAGACAATCTATTCATCGTCGGTATCGTAACGTGAGAAAACATAAAAAGAAAAAAAAGAAACTGCAAATCCACAGATGTACAAATTTTAGACTGTAAGTTAATCTATCGCGACGAATAGCAATAATATTACAAGTAGGTGTATATTTTAACGAAACGTTGATTGCGTGTAAGTCTAGTGGTACGACAAAGTCGCCCATATTGTTTTTACATAGGCATTTTTGCTGAACAGTTCGTCGACATCGATTTTAAGAATGCCATGCTGTACAATGTTTTGGGGATTCCTTTACCGCACCACTGTCGATACGTCGCAGAAGGCTAACGCCTTTGTAATGAATTTGTAAAATACGATTGACCTATTTCACAGTCGAATCAATGTATATTCTAATCTTATACATATAGAAACATACTACTTAGACGTATAACTCGAGCACTGCCTTCCACCAATAAACTCGCTGTGAAACAGGTTAATAGATAGTCTTTAGAGCGAATACATGATTTGTTTTTACAATACTTAGGAACTGCTTCAATCGCAACCATAAGTTCCATATCTTTGACAATGGGATGCGTTGATGTTTTCGTATAGCAGGTTCATTTGCGATTCATCTTTCTTTCTTGCTAGTACCTTACCTTTCTCGATGGCAGCACACACGCGCTTTTAATTAATCAGTAGACTTTTGTCGATCACGAAAAAGGAAATTCTACAAGAATACTTTTAAACGGTATGACTATTTTTCGTCGTTTGCTTTACTGCCAGATGGATTCTTTAATTAAAATTCATTGATAGTGACGGGAACTTTAAAATGAAACGAATTCACTTTCTTTTCGTTGCAGATTTTGGACTGTTAGAGTTAGAAAACATTTCGTTGTATAGAACGAAAATTTTGTTGAAATAAAATTAAACGTATTACCGTATTGTGTTCCGCGCTGAGAAGTATTATTTTATGGAAAGACGATTTGAAATCGGTGCGTACTGTGTTCGAGGATCGTAAATTTATGATGGAAATTTGTTTTTAAAGCGAACAGAGAACCTCTAGGCTTACTCTGTAATACGATGTAGTGGTAGATCACGAGGACACCAAACTTTTCAAGATAGCTCGTCACCACTCAGGGAAAAATCGATTTACTATACAAAATTATGTCGAGTTTTCTTCGTGTACGTCGGTTGTGTCGAGAACGAAGTGTTGGTCCAATTATTGTACATACGTTTCACGTCGAAACACCAATACTGCATTCGTCATTATTTTATGGTACTTAAAAGTCTCGTGAGACAGCCTGAATTACTTGTACAGAAATTGTCAAGTCTGGAAACTTCGATACGAAATTAACGATTCGAATTGTACGATAAAATGTCATGCTGTCTCGAAGATCATTCGACGACTTTGTCGAGAAAAAGGATTTCCAACAATCGCGAGTAATCGTCGAAGACAACAGTGCGTTTATACCGATGAAGAGTATTTTAAGCGTTATCTCGATGTAGTCTTGTTGTACGTTTTAAGAATAAGAGAGACGAGAACAAAGCGTGTACGATAGAGACGAATAAGTGAAGTTAACAGAGAGCAGTAAACGATAATATTTTTACACAACAGACCGTGCCAAATTTTTGCAATCGAATCATTGAACTCTTCTCGATTTCTTAAGCGACTCTTATCGAAGCAACGATGAACAGCCGTTCAAGATTTTGAGGCTTAATCCTTTTTTATTTAAAAAATTAAAACATTCGATCAACTGGAAATTTAACCCTACTAATTACGCTCTCGTTTACCTTGTGTTCAATTTCAAATCGTACAAATAAATTATTGTGTTCCTAATCCACCCTGGTGGGTTGGTTCTCGAAGCTTCTATCGCTTGGAAATTTGATTTTTATTTGACCAAAGTCTCTAATTATGGGAAACATAGGGTTTATACAGAACGAACAAGCTGTTGGGAGCATTGCTGACTTTTTATGAAAAAGTATCTGTAAATTAGAAGTTTTTATTGTAAGTTTTGTGTAAACCCAATGTGGCTCTATTTGTTAGAATCTTCTATTCGCTAGTAGCTTTATTGTAACTCTTAAATGTTTCGTACGCATATACTTATGTACGCCAAAATGATGCGTTTAGAGTTAGGTGTATCGTAGACATTTGTTCGCTTTAAGAAAACTTAGTGAGCTCGCAATATCGAACAAAACGGTTGTTTCAAAATTAAGAAAGCATTGAACTGTTCGAATTACAAATTGCCTAGGGCACTCAATTCTTCAGAATCATTCAAAGCGAAGAAAACAGGCTATTAATTTTAAGCGGTTTGCTCAAGAAATTGCGTTTAATCTGAAACTTAACGTTAAGTGAAAAAAACAGCGCCCGACAACAATGCTTTGATTGGCCGAAATATTGGCACAGACCATACCGTAACGTAGCATTTTGATACTCGAGATCATCTATTAAGTGTCACTGTTGGAAAGTAAAAAAAATACCTGCGTGCAAGTGAACAAAATCTGACGTTTGTGAAGCGTGTTTTTTCATTTTTCTACGAGACAGAGAGAATTAGCCGAACCCACGTCTCTCGACGAACAAATAGAAAGAATCAATTCACTGTAAAGATAATTAGTACGATAGTAAAGTGGCTGGAAATATCGAGGAACATCATTTTGTCTCGATACACTTGCAAGTTTTCCCAAGAGGCCTACACGCGATATTTATTATATGAAACATGGAGAAAGCGCTCGAACTACACGTGGACTCTTGGGATTGCTTGTAATGCGTAAGGCGCTAGCTAATCATGTAAAAAATGGGACGACGGAAAGGTGTATCGCTGAAATATCAGGACACTTGAAAGGTTGCAGCGCACTCCGGTGTTCTTTTGTATATTTTCAAACGCGATACGTGCAGCTAAAAATCCGGGTATAATTTTGCGAGCGATCTTTCAACTGTTCTAAGAACGTGCGTTTATGTTGTATCCGTAACGAAGTAAGAAATGAAAACCATACCAAGCGAAATGCCATATGTGTTTACACAGAGGGAAAATTTTCTAACGAGAAAAGGCTGATTGTTTTTTAACGTAAACGTAATTCACTTCACGACTTCGTCCTCCTTTTGGGGATACCCGTTTGAGTCAATGGTTTCATCTTTCATTTTTGGTTTTAAAATGTATGCATTGTTTTGCATATTTTGCACGAATAACTTTAATTTTAAAGTTTATGATAATAGATCTTGTTTGAAGTAGATTAAGTGATTGTAAGTCCTCCGCCATTTTGGAAGTGAACCTTAGGACTGCGATACAATTAAAGAAACTGCAACGAAGATTTTTATAGTCAGTTATAGGCGCAATACAAATTGTAGTATTATTCACAGTAAATTCGTCAATTGTACTCAGTAAATTAGCATGCTTGTTACTATTCGTTTTACAATTAAATAGATAGCCATCATAAACATCAAATCATTGACTCAAGGGGAAGCCTCAGATACTAGAGTTAGGATCTTTGCCTCGAATCGGATGCCTAGACAATTTCACTTTTATATTTACATCTGATAGGATTTACACGATCGAATCAAAGGCCTTCGAGCACAAGGGGAGGACGATTGTCGACGAGAATTTATCCTGGACAACGTTTCTGACGCGAATTGTATCTCGTACTTTTGTTCACCTATTAAGAAAGTAAATGATCGCCTCAGAAACGTTGTCTCGGGTCACGTGATTGGTTTTCAATTCAGGGATGTAAATCACTGTGCGATACAATTTTGTAATGTAACTGTGCATACGGAAGCATGTAATAAAAGAAGACTAAACGACGGCATCACCGTTTGTTTTACACGCTTCTGCTTCCGCATCCTGTGTCCATGTTCTGTTACTTTATAGTCTTGGTATATGACCGTTATAAGATTGTATAAATATTTAATTCAGTTAAAATTGTTGTAACACTGAAATGTCAAATTTTGTAATATAACGGCCATATAGTGAGACTGCATTGTACTTCCTTTTCCATGAAAAGTATTTCAGTTATGTTCTGTTTGAAGTATTCTATCTGTTTTGAAGTTTATTTTGGAAAATTTATGAGGCTTTATTTTGAGAAAATTTATGAAGCTTCATTTTGAAAAAATTTAATTTTTCATTTAAACAAATGATCAAAGAATACAGTTTCTGTTGGAAAAGTATACTTCCTTGTCTATAGAAGCATGACTAGAACTGTGCAGACAAATTCCTGACGTTTGCCTCAGTGTGCTGGCCAACGATCGTGGGAAATCTCACCTGCAACCTCGTCTCCAACGAATCAATATTATACGAGAGTGTACGAGTACGCTGTGTTTTATGGATAACGCTGAAAGACACTTTCTTATCGGAAAGATACAATTGACTTTTTCATGCTTTAATGTGTAATTGAACTTTGATCAAAATTTGCTAATATGCAACTTTTAAGATTCTCTTTCTTATTAGAATGTTTTTAGAATTTTAGAAATTATTGTAGCGAGAGTACATTAGATAGAAGACATTGTTACATCAATTGGAAAGGAAATCATTATGCAATGGAGATTAACGTACGCGTTTTAACGTTTCTAGATTCTGTGGGGAGGAAATTTCTATTACAGCCCATGTCCATTATGAAGTAGGAAGTAATAGGATTGCAGAGACTGAAGCACCTCGAATTTTCACGCTGGATTTCATCGTAGGTTTTAGATTCTATCTACACATCTCCTCTCCTTTTCAACGGTACTAATCCATTTCTATTATTTCATTTATTTCTGTTACTTTATTTACTTATCTATTCCAATCCTACAATTCCAGGTTCCTCTCAACTCAAATGCAGTCTATTGCTGAGAAGCTACCAACTCAAGATCCTCCAGAAACACTCATAAAATACTATTAAGACATCTGAAGATCATCAAAGACCCTAATTATAAATCCTTATCATAAAAGTAGATTAAGATAGTTCAAAATATTCAGACAGATTTTATAGACTCTTAAATGTATGAACATTCAGTTACTAATATTTCTATTGCTGCTAATAGTCCACTAACGACAATCAAATCAAGTGTTACATTGTCTTCCTCAACAATACAGAGCATATTTGGGGGAAAGTACAAGCATAAAAGTGATCCGGGGGTCGATGATTTCTCTGGGACTTCAGAAAACACCCCGGGGATGCAGCTGTCCAGGTATTTGCGTGCCCCAATTTTCACCACGTAGGGGGCGAGCCGACAGGGGGACACAAGGGTGGCTAGATGCTCTCTTTTACTTACAGCACCCCTCAAAGAGTGCCGCTGCGGTGTAATGGAACCCGAAGTTTCTATCGTGAACCTAACACGATTAATTCAGTTTTCAGGTTTTCATTAACTCTATACTCTTTCTATTATTTTGTACACAAACACTTTTTTATTTCCAAACATTTCTTTCAGATAAGTTGCAGACAACCCTTGAATTCTCACTGTGAGCAAGAATAATTTAAAACATTGAATTTAGAAAGAAATTGAAGCAAGAAAGAACTGTTTAACTATTTAGTTACAGGAAGACATAGAATGCAGAAAGAAATTGAAGCAAGAAAAAACTGTTCAGCTATTTAGCTAATACTGTATTGAAGCAAGAAAGAATGTTTAGTTACAGGAAGACATTGAATTTAGGAAGAAATTGAAGCAAGAAAAAACTGTCTAACTATTTAGATGATACTGTATTGAAACAAGAAAGAATGCTTAGTTATAGGAAGACATTGACTTTAGGAAGAAAGCAAGAAAATAACTCAAGCACTGAATATTTAATTATAAGAATGCGAATATATATTTTAAGCTAGATGGTAGTTTAAGCAATAATTGTATAAAGCGTTGAAAGTGTAAAAGGGGTAGTAGATCCGCAAGTTTGAGCCATCACGTTCGAGTTCGTCGACGAGGACAATCTATTCAACATCATCAACGAATGTACCATCCAGAGCGATGTCGCTATTACGACATGAATCGAGAATTAATACTTTACTTGTGTGTCACTCCAGCTGCGAGGATCAACACAAGTGCGACCCTTGTGACAAGAGGGTGCTCTTAATGCGTCTCTGATACGCGAAAGGGGCCTGAGCCACGATTCTATGGTTTGCTAATTTTCACGGGATCACGGTACCGTGACGTTCGAGCCGATTAGGTTCAACCTGGGGTATTGAACTTTCACGCCTTCCCTTTCGCGGTGAGGACACAGTGGAAATCTTCCTAGCGAATCAAAAACAATTAATTTTTAGTTATTCAAGGTACATGAAGTCTTTGCAATTTTACAGGAGATTGAATTGTATTGATTTGAACGAGAAATGTATACCTACAGGACAAGTGTTGAATGTTAGCATTGATAATCGCTGGAAGATAGTGCATTCATATCGCAAGTGCTATGAAATTGATGCAACCTGGTGGATGAGTGCGATACGAGCAGGTGTATAGACACACCTGCGTCAATTGTAGATAAAATTTGAACTACTCTCAATGCACAGGATTATTGAGAAGTCTGAACAATTATGAACAGCTTCAAGTATTATGTAAATTTATTAATGAACAGTTTCATCTACAAGTACTATGTAAATATCTTAATCTCTTCTAATGTGAATATCTTAATAATCTCTTCTAATGTAAATATCTTAATAATCTCTTCTAATGTAACTATCTTTATAATTTCTTTTAATATAACTATCTTAATAATTTCTTTTAACGACTACTTCAATGATTTGTAACTTTGCAGACAGAAGATGCAGTTAAGAAGATCGTCGGTCCACACGTCCCCAGGTTTACATGTATCGTCCCTAATTGTCCACAAATCGACGGTCACCCCCTCGATTTCCGAACCGTTGAGTACAACCACCCCCGAGGCACCAGGGGCGTTCCGCTAGTTTTGTAGAAGGGGTCCGATACAACGGGGTAGAATATGGATTCAATTACACCTCATTGTGCTACGGTGTCTATAAACAATGCTGTTTTCACAGCTGATAGCGGCCCACGTTGTGCTGCGGGTCGACAATGTTCACCCAGTAAACGAATTCTCTGGACGAATCTGAAGCTTCCTTTTGTGGAAAAATCTGACCACTCTTACAGTTCCTAAACTGGACTAATCTAATTATAATTTCATGATGTTGAAGAAGATGTTTATTCAATGAGTAATATGTATCATTATGCTGGGAGAAATTGCTCTTCAAATAATTTGTCACAAAGAAATATTGCTTGTATATGCAAGACTACTTCAAGAGTTGAAGAATTATGTTCTTTCACAATTAAAACAATATGAAAAGATTTTAAATGTAGACCACAACATTGTGAATCTAGAAGACTAAACAGAAGTTGAAGGCTAATATGTTAATTCATCTTCATTGTTAAAAATTAAATCAAATATTGAACAATCAGATATTGAACATAGACAGAAAGCTTCTAGATTTAACTGGAAAATCGGAATGAAAGCAATTAGAAAGTTCAGTACGGCTGGTAAACGATATTATAGCAAGTGTTTTGTAATTTTCAAACTATAACCGAGGGTTCTATTCGTTAACGTAACAATCGGATATCTGTGAAAGGTGGAAGGAAACTTGGGTCATTCAGGCGGGAGAATGACGAAGAGGGAAGAGAGGATCGCGTCGTGGGAAGATCCGCAGCCGTCGACGCCATTATTCCTGAGTCGCAGGACGTCGCGACGCCGCAATATCGACGTACCGCCCACGATTCTCTTTCTTTCTCTTCAACGTGTCAAGTAACACCCCTCTACGGCGAATTGTACGCTAGAATTTGGCGCAGCTACCCTCACTTTTAGGCTCCGCCATTTCCTACTAAATCCTTCTTTTTAAACATATTTTTTACAATATTGAAAGAGTTTGATGATAAAACGTACTTAAAGCTAGAAGTGAAAGAGATCAAGGAAGTTATGGACAAAATGAAAAAGGCAAAAGTAAACTTGAAGAACTTAATTTATTTGGCTTCAATGACAACCTGACAGTCATTCCATTTCTTTTCATGTACAAACGATATCTACTTACATTATCTTCACGGCTTATATGTACAATTGTAACGTGCTTTTACGTGCATTCTGTTATCGAAGAATCCTCCTTAAAAACACATGGTTTAAACAAAAGATTTATTTCTACGAAACTAGAAGAATCTACAATTTTGATTCCTACTGGAACTTTATCTGATTCAGATGTAGGACTACATAATATGATACTGTTTCTAGCTCTTGAAATAAGATAAATAATGTTAACAATGGTAATACTGATGTTAACTAAATACAAAGCAATTTTTTAACGAAGACTTAAACAACCTAAATTGAAAGGGTGACTAGAAAAACTGGTTCTTAAATACTAAATAACACAAGGCTCATTGGACTCAACAATTAAGACCTGAGCACTTTATTCAAACGTCGAGTCGTTCTTCGATGTTCTCGGATCTTCCGGTGTCCACACCTTCGCGTACATCGTCCCGTTCGGGGATATGTCCGACTTCCTGGACCAAGAAAGGGAGTGGAAAATGAATGGGTTTCCCTCGCTGCCTGAAATTCGATCATACAAAAGTAGTTAGCATTTTAAACACTTTCATTTGAAACTTCCATTACTTGTACGCTAATTGTGTTTCAATTTCTAGGTCTGTTAATCGTCGAGTAAGAAGAATTCGATTAGTATTGGCCTCACCACGAACTATGACCTTCTTAGAGTCATCCCGGCCGGAACACCTCGAGAGACTACCGTTTCCTGTCAGAGGATCGTTACCCTTGTCCGCTCTAACTAGTTCATTTAGGAACTTTATGTAACCGATCGCCAGTTTTAGCGTATCCACTTTAGAGAGTCTTTTTTCATAAGGGAGAGTAGGTATGTGAGCTCTCAGGCCCTCGAACGCGTCGTTTATGTTCTGCATACGCCTCCTCTCCCTCATGTTGGCGGCTTGCCTTTGCTGCACCGCCTGTCTTGGACTCTTTCCTGATGTCCCATTGCGTCTGTTACTTTGACTTCGTCTAGAAGAGTACAGTGTTTTTAACTGAGGAAAATCATATGAACAAGAGATGTGACATCTTGAGATATAATTATAGAGGCTCCATAAGCACAAACACTTGAATAAGAGAAAAGTTTCTTTGTTTCACTGTAACTTCATGATAAGTTAACTGTGCCAAACTAGGAGTTTATAGATTTATGCCTTTAATAAGCACAGCTAACATTTTGCTACCAGCTTAGAAAAATTAAAAAGATTGAGAACTAAGTAATATGAAAGAGGAAAAAGTTGGACAGTTTGCTAACAGGAAAATCTAATTTTAAGTAATGGTACTCACTCTCTGGCATGATTTTCTTGATCACTACTGTAAGCACTTTCGTTATCGCTACTGTTCTCGTCATATAAATAAATTTCACTGCCACTGGTGCTTCCTGTGCTTCCAGCAGGATGCGAAGTCAGTTGCGACGGAATCGAAGGAAGAGTTGCGGTGGTAGGTGCTCCGCAGTGCGGCGGCAATGCTGGGATTGCAGGATTCCCAAGGAAACTGTGAGCTTCGTACATGTACTGACGGTTCATCATATCCAGTTCAAGATTGTCCATAGAATACATCTTGAAAAATCTTTGGTTTCCTGTTTCTTTCAAAGTCTTTGGTGCTCCTCAGATATGTTGACTAGAATCGCTGACTAGCTGGAGTATTTGAAAGATTACCTTCAGATCATCTTCAGGAAATTATTTCATTAAAAAATGAAGAACTTTAGGATATTTTCCAGGTATAAAAAATATTTTTCTTCACACAAGTATTGCTAGATCCAATTGAGCTTTTCAAGTATCGAATTAATTCCCCATATTGTTCACAGGCAGCATCGAGTTGAATCAATCACAGCGGGATCAACGCGTTTTCATTGGAATTTCCTACAAATTCCCGTCGAAGCACCCTTGATCACGTTCGGAGGATTCGCCGATATCATCGACACGTGTCCCTAGCGCCGGCTAGGAAATACTTCTAAACACCGGCACGTGCCAGCAACAGAGCATAGGACACGTGTCCAAGTTTGTCCAGGCACTTATCAGCGTGCACTCGATCTTTCCCATCTAATCATACTGCACTCGAAATTAAGATTCTTCCACCAGACACCTGTAGAATCGTAACTCGAAGACTCCAGGAACTTCTTCCTTCATCCTTGATTTTGATATGGAACCACTCTTCATTTACTTCACTTTCAAACAATTGAACTGGTTAATTAGATGTTCAACTATCATCGTTCACGCGGGGTAAAATTGTAGAATTCTTTGTTTGAAACAGATCAAACCGCTGTTTGAAATAGCTGATGTGTATGTTTTAATTTAGGACTGAGAATAGCAAGTTTAACTGCGAGAGAGGTGAAGTGTAACTGAAGATGAACACTGGTTCAGGTGGTCTGACATAACTGAAAGAGCGGGAGGAAGGCGGAAGCCATTCCCGGGGTTGAAAACCCTGCTACAACCCCATTCGTCGAACTGGCCAGTGGCGGAGCCTGACTACCCCTGGTTACTGGGCTGCTGGTTCCGCCTCCTCATCGATCTGATAAGGAACACAGGCGCAGATAACTCGCGAAAAAAATTCTTAAGACGATAATACGAATTGACTGAATTTAGGAAGCAAATTTACACCTCTACATTTACACTTCTTAAGGCCATATTAATACTTTAATTTGTATTAATATTTCAACAACAATGCTTCAAACTTTACAATCTCTTAATTTCCTCATTTACAAATTAAAACTTTCTACGTCCTCAGGTGAAAGTAAAATATTTTAGAAATAGAAAAGCAAGGTTCCTAAATTTTTTTTGCACGCTAATGTGAAAGCGAGTACATAAAAATTTATGTAAAACGAGCTTGTAGAATTGCACTTCTAAAAATAGAATTTTGTACGTGAGACAGAGTTGAACATATTGTTGAGCTTGACCGCAACCTTAGATAATATTAATTTGCGGCATATAATAACACGGTAGAAATCACATCAAACCTGTTACCTGCCGCATAATTACATGTTGTCGTGGGCCAAATGTCATAGAAGCGGTTTAACCTGAAATAAACCCTTCTGTTTCTTGTGCACGTGTGTAACACGTGCCCCTAATTTCTTTCTTCGTTGCACTTTTGATTCACGGATGTTCTTTTTGCAGTTGCTGGTGAAGCGTGACCGTTTCACTCCCTTGTTTCCTGTGGATGTTGCCCAAGGAAGACGGGGTTAATCAGAACTTAGGAAACGCGTATTCATGTTTTAGAAAGTATAATGTGAACAATTTTCTTGTTGCAAAATAAGTTTTTATGGATTTATTGTTCATTTTACAGGGGACGTTCTTTTTGAAACACCGACAATAAAATACAGCCTGTTATCGATTTCCCACAAAACTATCTGAGCGTCCGTTGAACCTGGACAATTAACACGGTGGAAATTAAGAGGGTTTCTCGCAACAGGATGAATTATTCGCTCCATCTGGTGCGCTGTTCCAGGTGAAAATCAAGGAAACGATTTCTCTGTTTCCCACGAACGCAATTTCGAACATGAGGGTGGAAAATGTGGTGATTATACGTTTTAACGCAAATAAAATTATGGAATATCCATTAAACAAGTAATTTTTCGATGCAGGTGCAGTGTGCAAAAATCGATTCGCGGATCACAAACCGCAGCCTGTCTGGATTTAATCCGAAAGAAAAATACAGGATCGGGACAGGTCCATTGTGTCGCAGGATTTTTGATCCTCGAGATCGAGAGATAACCGAAGGGGATCAGATTTAAATGGCAAATCCCTGGGGCACGTGTGCGCGTTTCACTCGATCTGTATGAGAAGTTAAACACGATGGAGGGGAAAAAATTTACTACTGCAACAAGGAGTGTCTAGCCATTAAAAAATCCTTATATTATCACTTTGCAAACTGTTCTTGAAAGATTTTGCGTTTTAATATCCAATGTTCTGGATGCTTTTGTGGAAATTCATCGTTTCTCCATTGAACACCCTCCCTGCGTGTAACCGATTTTTCATGGTGCATCCTCACACCTAGGGACCCGTGTTCAACACCTGGTAGTCGCAGTTGCCCCCAGGAACATTCTGGTATCCACTCGAAGTACGGCTCAGCCCTAAGTGTCTATTAATTTATACCCAGCGGGAGTGTGAAATCGATTTAGACTCGGACTTAATTCATTTTCCAGTTTCAATATGTTCGCAACCCTATCAGAAGATGTACATATTGTAATGATTATACCGTTCAGTGAAATCTGAGAAAGAGTTCTCACATTTTATTCATATCAGTTTATAGCTACAATTCAAGGTATGCAACGTATACAAAATAACCCCAACAGTGCAGTATACAATTCTAACAGTTTTGCTGTTTTCAGGTGTTTGCTGAAACATGTTTGTCCGTTACGTAAAATCGTATATACACCATGTACATGTTTATCCTGAAACATCCGGTCACCGTTGGACGATCGTGGGCGTAATCGAGCGAACCGTCTAAATCGTGAGCTAATTTAACCATCAGCCTGTCCAAGCAAATTTTTAGCCACCTGTCTAATATACACTTCTACATCCGTTTCCGGTTCGTAGGGGATGTTACCCCCTGCGGTGTCCTCGTGGCTGGAACCTCTACCAGGAGGGCACGATCCCCTAAACGTTCCACGCTTCGATGCACCACCTTTACCCCATGCTCCTCGTGTCCAAAGGATCGATTCGTTATCGTAAAACGTCCCAATGTCGACGAATTTTCAAGATAAAGATCGGTCCTGTATGCCGAATAAAAGTGAGTATACAAACGCGCATAATTTCCTTAGAGGGATAAAGTAATCACGGTACAATGAAAATTATCGGTGGCACAAGCTGCTTTTTTGCATCGAATGCTTTGTATGGTCAAGCCACGTACCATTGACCAATCATGCTGATAAAAATTTATCTTTTCGTCGATCTGAACATTCTGAATAGGACGTTTAATTCTTATATTTTGCATACATGGAATATTAGAGATTTGTGATACTGAAAGCTATCTATTTTCCTCCATCTTGATTGCTACTACAATTTAATAAGATTGCTAATTTTGTTCAACTTCTTCAATTGTTATTTAGACATTCGTTAATGATTATTAATATTTTACTACTGTTTGAGTTAAACTGGTAAGCATTTATTGTTTGAACGTACGCGTTTGGAAACACCAAAACGGAATTCTAAAGGAAAGTTCAATGTAGAGCACTCTACCGACGGAAACTTATATTAAGATTCTATGTTATCCTCAGAGCAACACCAGCAAGATTCAAAATGTTTCATTTTATATTTATTTAAATATTTTCTATTTAATTCAATCAAGTAATTAAAAATCCAAATTTATGTCAGCATCAAGAAACATAAAATCCAATAAGTCCCATGATATAATGGGAAGATAAAACGGTATAATGAAAACAGACAAAATGACACTCTACACTTTTATCTTTCGTAATGAAAGTTAATAACAAATTGTTGTTACTGCGCAGTTGCAAAATTCGTGATGACGTGTTAAAATCGAAGTTCAAATCTAGCGCGTACAAACGATAAAAATCGAATCAGAACATATTGTCGAATCAGAACGATCTTTAATCTCAGTTCACCTCGATATCTCGAAGCAATTTAAGTGGCCTTCAGGTCGAGCCTTGAGGCCAGTATTTTCGCTGAGCTGGGTTGTTGTTTACATCCAGGAGCCGCTCTTCGTACGGTGATCCCGTGCGCGAGGGGAGCGGAAAAAATTCCTCCGTGAAATTCACCATTTCTTGAAGACTCTTTGAAGCAGCTACCATTTCTGTTATTGTTATTTTATCATCAGGCTTGCACGGACCGATCGGACGATAAACAATATGAAGGTAACTGTATCCACGCTCAGCGACGACATCTTCGTCCTGGATGTCATCGAGGATATGGAACTGGGGAATTTCAAAGCTCTCTGCGAAAGCGAATGCAACGTTCCAACCCATGAGATGATGATAGCCTTCAACGGACTACCGCTGATTGACGACAAAAAGTCGCTGAAGGACCACGGCATTCAAGACGGTGACATAGTTATTTTGCAGCACATGCATCAGAGCGGGACCGACTTAAACCTTCATCCCTTAAACGGAGGTCAGCTTCAATTCACCACCATTATTTAAAGTGGCGATCGAGGCGGGTCGTGAGGTTAGCTTTTCGGCTTCGATTTACGTTTTCTTCTGTATTGTTACGTTTCTCGATCAGTTGTTGTTTAAGCTCAGCGATTCCGATCACCCACAGTCCGCACTCTTCCAGCGAATTAATCTCAACACGTTCACAATCTTGCGATCCATATGTGGTTCAGCATACTCCCTACTCATACGTCTCCTGATCTGTATGAGGGGCATGATCCACGTACGATAGACATGTATTGTTCTCGTGGACGTACGAGTGGGAAGTACTTTTTTGATTTGGGCCGTGAAGGTGTTAACTGACTCGACCGAGCATGTTCCCGTGTTTCACTATTCCATATTTGTGCAATTTTTCTTTAGAATAGGTTTTGTCTCGTTACAAAAGATCTTTGTCCTGTTTCTTTTTACGTCTGCAGGTTTGTTTAGATCAGATTTCTAATAGCTTAGCACAGATATGTTATGTGATCTTTTTCAGTTTAATGATAGTTTACAACGATCTGCTTAGTTAGTAATTTATTTAAAAATGCATCTTACACAGTATTAAAGAGAATATACTAAATTCCAAGAAACATTACTTCAGCTATTCCCATGTGGGACTTCAGTTCCATTAGAGTACCAGGAACATCCAGAAGGGAAGATGATCCAGAGATGATAAGGGAGATGCTTTTAGCTAATCCAGATCAGTTGGCTCTGCTCAATCAAAATAATCCTGAACTGGCTGGTGCTCTAATTGCTGGAAACTTGGGTAAGTCCTGCCAGCTTTATTTTAAAGCCTTGAAACTTTTCTATAAAATAAGTGTTTTTATTTCACAGAGACATTTTCCACTGTGCTTAAAGAGCAAATAAAAGTTAGAGAAGAACGCGAAGCACAAAGGGTGAGAATGATGTATGCTGATCCATTTGATACAGAGGCACAAAGGTATATCGCCGAAGATATCAGACAAAAGAACATTGTGGCAAACATGGAAGCTGCAATGGAATACAATCCTGAAATTTTTGGATCGGTTGTTATGTTATATATTAATTGTAAAGTTAATGGATTTCCTGTTAAAGCCTTTATCGATACAGGTACATATTCGACGCCCTTAGTTATCACCATAAATAGTTAAGAAAAATGCGCGTAAATACGTGCGTTGCAAATACTTTATATCGCGAATAAATCGAGTCAGCGACAAGTGTATTTTTAAATATCTGTTTGGGTACGTGTGGTTGGTGAATGTCTATTTTTAAATTCTTGCATTTTGAAAGTCATTCTTTGTAGTATGATTCTTCATGGAGGGAGCAGTTTAAATTTAGATTTAGTCGAAACACGTGCTGTCGTATATATCATGATCATATATTTTAAAATAATCTCACTACTTTCGCAAATACCTAGCAGAACAATTCTTACGAATTTTTTGTAAATCAGGTGCACAGTCAACAGTAATGTCCGAAGCTTGTGCAGAAAGATGTCACATAATGAGATTAGTCGATTCAAGGTGGGCTGGAATAGCTCACGGAATTGGAACCCAAAATATTATCGGACGTATCCACATGGTACAAATTCAAATTGGGAACGATCACTTAACAACTTCATTTGCTGTCCTAGCAGAACAAAACATGGACATGTTGCTTGGCTTAGATATGTTAAAAAGGCATCAATGCTGCATAGATTTAAAGAAAAACGTACTAACAATTGGTACCACTGGTGCTGAGACACCATTCTTAGCGGAAGGTCAACTTTTTCAATTTTTTTATTTCAAAATATTCATTTTACTGTTACGTATAATTTTATAATATATTTTTCATTATAGGTGAATTACCAGAATGGCTCAGGTTAAGCGGTTACAACGATATGAGCTTGCTTGGCATCGAGGATGAAAAAGTGCATGATAAAAGCCGCCCTCATAGAGCAGTGGAAGACTCGTCGCATGATGTGAAGAAACAACGTCGACAAAACGGTAAGTATCTATCCAGGTTATCCTTTAATTTGCCTGGTAGATGTACATATGTTTAATCACGAGCAGAAAGAGTATTTTTTTATGCATCTTTCAGAGGGTCACAGCAGCAGTAGTGCAAGCGGGACATCGAGTAGATTAGGAGCAATAGAGGCAACAATTTTTGCTCACGATCCATTCACAGAGGAAACAGTGAAGGAAATCGAATCCCTGGGTTTCGGCAGATTACACGTTATCGCGGAATTGCGCAGATTTCACGGAGATAAGGCGAAGGCGACTGACTCGTTGTTTACAAAATTCCGATCTTAAAGTTACAGAAGAAAGAAAAATGTGAATGTTCTGTGTCTGTGCAGTAAAATTAGGGGAAAGAAGATTTATACTTGATTTTTGGTAGCAGTTTTTAATATTAACGTTAATGATTGTACATTTGATGCACCAAACGACCAAACGATGCTCAAGCAAGCATGTTCGTTGCTCGATAGTAGCATGGAATCGTATTTTGGATCTTTCTTTTTTTGCTACGTACGAAGAATTTATAAAGATAAACTGTTGGATTACGACAGACGAGTCGACGTGCTCTAATATTTAAACCATAATTATCGCAATACATAATTTTAAGGGCAGTAAATGGTGAATTAAAATACTGTTTTAAATTAATGGAGCAGCTTATTGTTTTCGTGAAGATAAAATGAGAGCGAAGGTTCTATCACGTTCGTAGATATTCCGCATAACTTCCACCAGATTAGATTTAAAAGATGAACATTTGAAAGTAATGTTTCTTTGAAACTGTATCGCAACAATTGCACGAACGTTTCGAGCTTCGCTAGCAGATTAACTTGCGATACCTATAAAAAGTAGTTCCTTCGACAATTTATCATATAAAACTATGGAACATGGAAAAATGATTATGACTTAAGATATAAACTCTTTTCCATTTATTTCTTTACAAGGGTCGAAATAAGATACAAGTTAATCAATATGTAAAAACTTCTATTTCTTTTATATAACAATTCCATCAAATTTACAAAAACAAACATCGCGAATTTTGTATCATTACTATTTATTTAGGGTATATGGTATTTTCTGTATTTTCATTATTATATCGATAAAAAATGTAACACCATGATTTCAACTAAATTTTTCATACATTCTTCCTTATTATGCAATCGAATTTCAGATAACAACATCAACGAGAAAAGGAGAAATAGGAACTACAATTTTTCTTCCTTTTCCCAAACAACAACCATATACTTATAATGAATTTACAGCATTACAAATTCATTATTTCTTCAATTATTTTCGGGAAGCTCATTTGGTGCCCATTTTATCTCGACCATTTTCCCGGTACGAGCAGATTCCTCGCAGGCAGCCGCAACTTTGCTCACCGCCAGAGTTTCTTTGGGTAACACGGACAGTTCGTCCAAGCCGAGTACAACGTCGATGAAGTGGTCCAGTTCCCTGATATATCCGTTCCTAAACCTGCTAGCGAACGAATACCAAATAGGAGCACTGCATGTTCCTTCGAGGCCGTAATTTGTGTTCACACAGTGTATCGGTTGCTCGTTGTCTGCTTTAACCATGCCCTTGGGACCGAACGCCTCGAGACGCTGATCGTACCCGAAATTGCTGTTTCGTGAAAGGTCGATCGTCCCCAGAGTTCCTGAAGGGAAGTATAGGCTCACTGCTACAGTGTCGAAGTCGTCAATTGCTTTGATTTCTGGAATGTTTGCGGTGGCTTGGACGGCAACCTACAATCAAATATTATCACAAGTAGTAAAGTGCTTGTAAATAAAAGAAACAATAGGTATGTATACCTATTGTATGTCTATCTTTATGTACTGTATACTAAATTGTTATGGACTGAATTGAATAGGTACAAGTTTATCCTAAATTCAAAGTACTTCAAATTTCTTTTTTTGATTGTAACATTATTCTACATTGGACTTTCTTTTTCAGTTAAGTTTCTATGATGTTTTACCAAAGATTCTTACCCTCACTGGATACTCTCCAAGAACCCAAGTAATTATGTCGATATCATGGACCATGCAGTCGTGGAAAATACCACCAGAGTGTTTCAAGTAATCAATGGTAGGAAGAGGAGAATCCCGTGAGACAGTTTTAATTACATGTACGTGTCCAATGTCTCCCCTCCTGACTTTTTCTCTAACTGCTGCGTAGCTGGGATCAAAACGTCTGTTGAAGGCGCTGAACAGAGGTTTGCCGACCTTCTTGGCGGTTTCATAACATTTCATTGTATTCGAGCGATCCTCGGCTATCGGTTTTTCACAAAAAACAGCCTTCTTCGCTTCTAACGCCTTCGTTACAATTGTCTCATGTGTAAATGTCGGCGAAGCAACGACAAGTACATCTACTCTGTGTATTCAAAGATCATTGTCAGTTATTAATTGAACTCTGACTACTTTATAATTAGATATATTAGACAGTGTTGAGCATAAATTCATCATTAACAAAATCGTTATAAAACGTTCTCAAAAAATTTGGTAATAGTAAAGTATGTATTTAATATATTTCAAATCATTTATTCTTTGCTAGTTTCTGACTTATTAAACAAATATAAAATTTCTTACTTTGGGTCATTGTACACTTTGTCTGCTTGTTTACTGTGCAAAAGGGTGACGTTCTCCAGGTGCCAATACTGTCGAAGACTTGGCCACTTGGATTCTGCATCGTCTACTACGTACAATAACTTCAGACGTGGATTGGAGATGACGTTGGATAAATGAATTGTTCCAGCTCGACCTACACCGAACAGGGCGACTCCCAATACTTGATTGTGTGAATTACTTTTCAATGTAAGATCCTGCAAGTATCTGTAATAACAATGAAATCATTTTTAGAAGAACAGCAGAGAAATGATGAACAATCGACAATATGCAGACGAAAAGAAAAGTCTACGTTGATGAAGAAGAGTTGGAACCCAAGAAGATTACTCACTGCTTATAAAGATAGTCCTCTACAGGCGGCTTCGGCGACGGTTTGGTGTACGGTGATGCTTCCTTAAATTTTGCTGTTGCCATGGTATCTAAATTTTACTGAATAATTCAGAAGAGCCGATATACAATAAGTCAGCAGTCTCGTTGCTCAGCGAGACTCTGTTCGGCTACTACGGTTCTTATACACATAAACGTGCCGGTCCTCGAGGTGGGGGAAGACCAAACATGATTATGTGTGACGAAAATTACAACGCGCGAATCTCTCCAGCAACGATTTCAGATTTTTTAAACGATTAAATTGCCCAGAGGTCGCGTGACTTTTTATTATTTGTATTTAATTATGAAAACACTTGGCGCCATAACTATACCCTCAGAAGAAATACAATTTGATACAATATGTATTTATTAAAATGTATAGAATAAAGTTTCACTGAATTTTCTCAAGCTTTAAGGAATTTTCAAGTGAAACAGTAGAAGGATAATTGTCTAAAAGGTGCATTAAGATGGATGATTAATTATTTTGGATAATACTGTACTTCATGAATACAAAAAGAGATAATTTCTCATATTTCAGCATCTTTTCTTATTTGTAAAAAAAGTGGTCGTTTCTTTTACATTGATTGCCAAATTCATGCAAAATCAAGCGCTTTTTCTAAAATATTGAACTGCTTATCTAAAGTCAGTGGAATTTATTGAATCTAGTTAATCATTCCATAAATCAAACCGCATATTTCGTCCATATATAACGTGGTTCGAGAATTTTCGACCGCTTTATTGAAGTAATTTGTTAGGTACAATCAGACAAGTTAGCTGCGGAGTCGCTCGTGCCAATTGTCGATATTATAAGTATTTCTTTATAAGACTTTACTAGAGACTTCGATTGTTCTCAGCGTGTCAGTCAGTCGCGGCAAAGAGAAACATAAAATTGCCGCGACCGAGTTGCAAATAAGTGCAAGAACAAGTGTTACTTCTGTATAAAATGTAAGTTTGACTCGGTTATTGCCTGACCTCTCGGTTCATTAACTGGTTCAGAAATCATACAAATAATTTATACAAAACTGGTTTTATTCGGTTAATCCGACTGTGTTGTTATAGATTAAAACTTCTATCGATAAAATTCCGCATTATATGCTTTTATCTGGCAGCTGTATATACATAGGCTGATTACTTAGAAAGTAAGATGAAACGTGCGTCTCAATATAAGTAGAAGATTAAAAATAACAGCAAATTGACCTTAGAGAAAGTAAAAAAGAAACCGGTTACAGAATATCTTTCTAATATAGAAGTGAAAGAATATATCTATGTAAAATGTGATAAGTGTAAATAGTGGATTAAGATGTATGTTGTAAGGTTGATGAACGTTGGTTTATCAACTTATCCTATTGTGAGCTAAAGCACAAAAGGGGCTAGCATATTGAGTACCATTTCTAATGCATTCTTACAATGCAAGGTTATCAGAGTCATCATTCAAACAAAACACAAGTATGCTTTGAGTTAGTGACATTGACTGTGATCTCAAAAAATTCATTGTGTGGATCACAGTGGAATTCCACTACTGATAATTAGTAGTCTCTGTATAATGTTTCACTGACCTCGTTTTATCGATAATGTAAGATGAAAAATTAGTCAAACTTCTTACAAATCATAACTCATAATTATTATGTAAGATCCTATTGAACAGTGGCTTAGAGCTCATCGTTCAGTTTCTGAATTGAGTTAGGTACGAATATTACTTCATTGGTGTCGCTCTTCACGCACGCTGTCCTTTTTGTTTTGTCTCTGCCAGGATCAGCGTCCACCAAAGATATGCTGGACTTCACTTCTCTGATAAAGAACATAATCATCAAAATACTAATATGATTATTTAACTTTGTTTTGGAAGAGTTACCTTTTGTCAGATTGTAATTCTGCTGATACTGTTACATCTTTGGGCTTAGAGAAGTCACATTCTAAAACAAAAGCTGCATCACCTGGCGTGATTAATTCGTCGTCATGCTGGATGACTAGGGTGTTCTTGTACTTATCATCAAGCTGAAATAGTAAGCAATTTGCAACAAGTTATTTCTACCTTATCTTGTAACTGTTCTTGATAATTATAAACTGTTTACATTTTCAGTTTTGCACTGGTTGAAGGGGATGTCAATGGTAAAGTTACCACCATGAGATGGATCTAAAAAACAAGGAGCCTGTCTCGAATAGAAGCTACCTTGAGTGTATATTACTCCTGAAAAATTGTCAGATGTTTTGAGATTTACTACCATCCTCTCAGCTCCACAGTGAAGCGAAACCCGATCATATCCTTCTGTCGACGCTCCTATTTCCATATCCATGGATAAATCTTGCACCCATATTTCTTCTAGAGTTGAAGATAGGAAAGTAGTATTTGATAATATAGAATTTGTTATTATGAACGATACATAAATATTATAAATAGTTTATCATATTTGTTACCCGCTAAACACTGTTTTAGCGCAAAGGTGAAGAACAGTAAAGCGTGTAGCGGTAATCGCATGACGTAGAACATTGCCAGACGAACGTCCGTGAACTGACAGTGATTTCAAGTTCATTAATCTACGAGCGAGCCCCTCCTGTTACCTGTACCTGGCTGGTTCCCACTTTGACACTCCATCCTTTAACATTCTCATCTCATTTTTCTTAGACTAACGCTTCATATCAAGTAAGGAAAATATACTCGGTTCTTTTAATACATTTATTAATAAATATACATTAATATTACATTAAATTCGTTATTGATGTCCACATACGAAATTTGATAAGATTTTTGGTCAAACTTTTCCTTTAGATAAGCTCCAGTTTAAATCTATTATTTTTAGGGGGCTTATCGTGTATGCATACAAAGGCTCTACGGCGGCACATACATTCAAAATAATGATGGATCATTGAGCTTCAAAGCTTTCGAGATATTGTATTGAGCCAATTGAAACGTTACGACACATTATAAATTACTCAATTTCTATAATGGAAATTTTTGAACTTGCTTCATTAATCTTTCATTTATCTATCGATCCACGGGTTACGTCATTCATTTTACAGCGTCTTCCGTTCGATGGCGCAAAAATGTTAAAATTCTACTACTTGAAAAGTAAACATGTTTTCCGTCTCGTGTTACGTCACACCTAACTGTATTACGGAACTTAGTATGTTTGCAAAATCATTTTTACATTCAGGAACCGATTAATGAGAAACACGTTAAAGTGATTTTGGGGATAATGAAACAATTTATAGGTTGTATGATTTTCTACACCTTTATTATACCCTGTTATGGAATAACAGGGTTCGACAATGCCTAGGTACAATACTGTTTCCAGCGAACGCGTGTAAAGGTTCTTGTTTTTCCATCTGCAGCCAGTGATTAGCAACAGGCTGGTCTTATCGGTTCCTCGTGAACTCTTTGATCGTTCTTCGGCCAAGATTTGGTTAAGAAAACGGTAGTATCAATTCTGCGTACTAACTAAGCAAGCATTATGGCAACCACTCGTGTTGGCCAAATTCTTTTCACCAAAACCTTGCAAATTGCTCGAAAACCACAATATGTTGCATCTAATGTGAAATATTATTGTTGTAAGTACATTTTATAGAAGGTCATTGATTGATAGCAATGTATGGAACAGTTGAGAAGATAATTATACTGTTGATGATTTTAATAAGAGTATTGTTACATGTGCTTTTTAAAGTTCAAATTTCACAGGTCAAGTTTCAAATTATGAGTATATCAAGGTTGAAACCGTTGGTGAGAAAAAAAATGTGGGCCTTATTACCTTAAACAGACCAAAAGCACTGAATGCCCTTTGCGATAAATTAATGACTGAAGTAAATGATGCTGTGGCCAAATTTGATAAAAATGAGAATGTTGGTGCAATTGTTCTTACTGGCAGCGAGAAAGCATTTGCTGCTGGTAAGCTATTCTTGAGTTATGATAACTTAAGTTATGTTCTGAAATTAAATGCAACTGTGTCTCTTTAGGTGCCGATATTAAAGAAATGCAAAATAATACATACTCTCAAACTATTAAGGGAAATTTCTTGACCCATTGGGACGGTGTTTCTAGAGCAGTAAAACCTGTAATCGCTGCAGTAAATGGTTATGCTGTAAGTTGAGGAATAGCAAAGACTCAGAAACACATTTAATGTTATTTAACAGTATAAGAATATTGTAATCATAGTTTCTTATATTTAGTTAGGTGGAGGTTGTGAATTAGCAATGATGTGCGATATCATTTATGCAGGAGATAAGGCAAAATTTGGTCAGCCAGAAATTGCTATTGGTACAATACCTGGTGCAGGTGGTACTCAAAGGTTAACTAGAGTAATTGGCAAGAGCAAAGCAATGGAAATGGTGCTTACAGGAAATCAGATAACTGCTGAAGAGGCTGAAAAGAGTGGTTTGTTCATTGAAATAAGAAAATGAACTTTGGTCCATCAATTAAGTTTAACTTTTTTACAATATTTGATTGCAGGTCTGGTTAGTAAAGTTGTTCCTGCCTCAGAACTTGTTGCAGCAGCTGTTAAATTAGGCGAAAAAATTGCATCACATTCTCAGTTAACTGTTGCCATGGCTAAAGAATCTGTTAATACGGGTAATTGCTGTTTATATAATAAATTACTGATATCATGCAGTGCTTGAATTAACATGATTTCATTACAGCTTATGAAACCACTCTAAGAGAGGGACTGCACTTTGAGAAAAGGATGTTCCATGGTACATTTGCGACGGTAAGGAATTTCTTGAAAATATTACAGATTTATAAATGAATAATGTATATTTAATATTCCAGGCTGATAGAAAAGAAGGAATGACGGCATTCGTTGAAAAACGTGCACCGAAATTCACAAACCAATAAATCTCTTGTTATCTCCGTTATTGGAGTGCCATAAAACTACTTACTTTTTTAAATAAATTTTATACGTTGAATTAAATATTTTTTATATTTGTTATTTAGATGAAAGATGTTCAAATAAAATATGTTTTTCAACAAAGGTAACGTTCAAAGAGAACCTTTATTTAGTTGCTACCTTTACATCTATATGATCCTTGAGTATGATACATTTACAGTTAACGTAGTCATCGTGGTTGACACCAAGTTAATGATTATTGTTCAATAATAATTACGGTGATCGTATTTTGTAAAAGCATCGATGCTATTGGCATCAGGAAAGGTATCCAAGAACGGTAGGAACAATGGAATTTCATACCAACATCTTATACAATAAATATTAAAACTTTACAATGCACACTTTGTTTCAAAATCTCTATAATATTCGTGTTTTCAGATTTTCCGAGAATCGAAGAACTACTCACGATATAAAAAAATGTTCCCTGTTTTTCAACGTGATTGTTTAAGAATACCAAGAAAATACTTATAGAAGATTACGCTCGTTTTTTTAGCATTGCAACCTTTGTATTAAAATATATAGTCCTAAATATTTAGAAAGCCACAAATACGCAATGTATCAAACAATTTACAGAGAAACAGTAGTATCAAATTCGGGACGAATGTTTAATCGATCCTCTTATAAAATCTGCTCAGTTGACTAGCTAACACTAACAATGTTCAGGTATGATGAAAGAGTTGTGCATACTTATTATTATCTCATGTAATTACCATATTTCACCTGGGTTTCTTCGTCCTTATCTTAAATGCTAAAAAAAAATTCAAACTAGCTACTCTTACATGCTAAGTGTTTCTCACGTGTTCGCTGCATTTCTTAATTATTACTTTAAGTACACACACAAAAGGGTTCCTCGTAAAATTCTGGGACTATAAAACCTCAAAGAAGTTTCCGTATCTTATGCAGTGCTACGTTTATTTACAGAGATTTTCCTGTGAAAAGTTTCTTCAAAAAGCGTTCTCAAAAAAAGGACTTTCTAAAAGTATTGTCATGATATGTGTAATCGTTCCTTTTGATTATCCGAATATCCTTATTTTGTACGAGAGTTTGTTACTTGGTCCATTTACCTGCAATCGAGTCTGGAAACTTCTTAAAATCGGTAAGAAGAAAAGAAGTTAGGATGTTTGCTTTTCGCGCGGGACAGTTCGGTTTTTTCTTTCACATATATATCACAGTTGCAAGCTCTGCTCGAATAACTAAGTTGGTACAATTACAGAAATGGAAATAAGTGTATTGGGTACATCAAGAGTCGACGGAACCGACCCAATGGTTTACCGCTTGTTGCGGCTCTTCATGGTGAAACGTCTCCAGAAGTTGCCGCTCTTCTTTGACGGCGTTGCCACCGGTGTATCATATGGATAGCTGGACTCTTCATCCGTGTCTTGTGCATTGGAAGTTTCCCTCGTTGGCGAGCCACCGTGCCCAGAATCTCTGTCACCGTCTGTGGAATTCTTTTCAAGTCCTATAACAAACACATCTTCATTTATTATAATGTTAGAAGGTTTCCTATATTTATAATTTTAAAACTATGTAGTATGATAAGCTATATAAATGTTAATTAACAATGGAACAAAGATAAGCATTCTGTATATCTTTCAGATTTGTTCCTGAGAAAGTTTGTCATCATAAAAATCTACTACCTCCAGCACGTAACATATCCAGAAACGTGTTCTCCGCATTGCCACGCGTGCGTCCCTGTTTCTGTGAGGGTGTTCCAAAGCTCAAGCTCTGAATATTGATTTCTGCCTTGAGCTGTTCTGGAGGTATGTCGTCCACTCGAAACTCATTTGGATCCTCGACGAACGCCTGCTGCAAGTCGCGCATGATCTTCTTACGTATCGTCTTCTTCATAGACAAATGTCTCTCCAAATGTTTCACGTCGCTCTCCGTTAAAGTTTTACTGTTGTCACGACGACGCGACTTTTTCTTCTTGCTGTTTTTAGGACTCTCTTCCTCGCCAGAAGTTGAGCCCACGGACACGGCGCTGTCGTGTCCAGCTGCCTTTTCTTCGGCTGGAATTCGCGTATTCTCCCACTTGCTGCCAAAGCCAAAAATGTCCCGCAAATGCGGAATGTTCCTGTCGGCTGTCTGCTGCCTTGCCATTGTTTTAGCGATCTGCTATTAGAAGATGCCTTAACACAGGTGTTTGATCTGAAAAAATAGTTTACTATTTCAGACTTTATGTAACGAAGTTATTAATGTGTTGAATTCTTTGCTAAAATGTATTATAATTTTAGTACAATTGATTATAACAGCGATAATAAACATAACTTGTATACCAAACTTATTGAATACTATGTTGAATTTGTTAAAAATCATATATTATATTGTAACAACATTTAAAATTCCCGCGCGAAAATTCCAAAATCCAGACCGCCAGTAGTATGCGCACCGTCACAGGGGGTGGTTGTGCGCACTTTTTTTACGAACTTTTTAATTAATATCGTAGATAATAATGAGTTGTGTACGCTAATTCAATGAATAAATATAATGTAAATAATTATTTTACCTCGTTAACCTATAATTTTTGCAAACTATCACGTTACATAAAAGAATTTAATATTTGACTTGGGCGGTAATAACCGCCATTACGAATTTGTTCGCGAAGTGTCGGCGCTTAAAGAAAGAGTGATTAGTAGGAGTAAAAATAAAAAGCGCATAGTTACAGCATGTAACCTGTTGCTACTAATAATTAAGCGGTGTATGCTTAACATAAGCGGTTTCCCAAACGCCGTTAAAATTACACGCTTCATCAAAAGAGCCTGGTGGTTAACGAAGCTTTAATCTCTGGATATTTCCCGTTACTGTAAATACAGATTTTATATAATACATTCACCGTTTTATTTTTCGGTAAGGGGCGATGAAACTTTTAATCTCCAGGAAGAAATCCGAGAAACCGAACCGGATCCCATGACACGCGAATAAAAAACAAACTGCTTTATCGACGATGAATATACCCCGTTAGATTTGTATATAATGCCAAGTTGACGGCGCTTTGCTTCAGTGAATGTCTCTTTTTATCTTTTTTCCCTGTTCCAGAATATTGGTTTTAGGTTTCGTCTCTGTACACGTTCATTTACCTTCCACGGAAACAAAGAATGATAAATATAGGACGCGACTGGCTCTATATTTCCTACGAAGCAACTGGTCGCTGAAAGAAACCATGAGGGCATTGTTTTTTGTGAAAGGTATTCCGATGTTCTAAAACAATGATAGTGAAGGGAACATTGAATCGGATTAAACTGAACCGTGTCCAATTAAGTCGCATCGAATTTTGTAAGCGTGTTTTGATATTCGATACTCTGGCCAGTGATCGGCTAATGTCGGGTAAAGTCGAGTGGATACGAACAAGTTTTTGCGATGCAAATTAAAATTTTCTGCCCATGCATTTTCAAGCAAACAATTTTGACATTAAATATTAATGAATAATGTTTGTAGGTGGCGCTATAAAAACATTTCAATTGAAGGATTCTGTATAAAGTGATAAATAATAGGGTAAGGAGCACAGGAGACCACATTGCGGTTGTAACAGTACGAAGATTTAAGAGCAACTAGACTGAACAGTCGTTATTGGAGCATTAATAAAAAGCCACTCTGTTATTGTTCTCCGATAAAGCCACGACAGTTATGCGATTCAGCGTGGGCCTCGTAGTCCGATTCGTGGATCGATAACGCGAAATCTCGTTCACGTTTCTCCTGGGGCACTTTCCATCTGCGTCATGAGAAACCACTTTATTTATACTCAGAAAATTCTTTTTCCATCGCGGCCCACAAGTGGTGCTCGCGCGAGCTCGTTCACTAGCACATTCCAATATGCAAGCGTAGGCTCCTTATATTTATGTATCCTTACCGACAGAGTACAATTATAAAAGTAGAGAGTAAATGTAAGCATTTAATTGTTTTATTCGCAAATAAGGTTTTACAAATTTTTAATGTAAAATTATAATTGGTTCCAGGATACTGAACACAGGATCTCAGATTCCATCAATAACCAATTGGAGAATACGAATCAAAGGATTACGAAAGAGTTATTCGCATAAGCTATAAGTATTCATGATATGTACGCGCACGTGGTTCTTCAGGATACCGGTCCGAGTGTCGTGAACTGTTACGCGGCCCGCAATCAATATTAGCATGTCCCATACGTAGGATGGTATTTATAAAAAATAATGCACTTTGCGTTCAACGTTTTTTCAACTAATGAAATACAACTTTGTTTAAAAGTTCAGTGCTTAACATTAACCTTACATTTAATTTGTACAGATGGTAGAACGAGAAGACTACGTGGAAAATTAGCGACGTTAAAAAATAATTTACTTACCAAACGTACCGAAACTATTGAAGTATCAAAAGAGCTATTACTGAAAACGCTGACGCTAAATATGCTGGAGTAGGGGCTTGAAAGGTTTGAAAAGCTTTGCAGAAAGCATCTCTGATAAAGGTGCTCTAACTGAAAATCGAGGCCAAGCTAGAGGGAGTGATTTCCATAGCTTTTGCAATGAACCAACAATATATCCCAGTCGCCTGGTGGCGAGCTGGTTGCCAGGCAGCGGGTTTCGTCCAGGTAAACCGCTCCTCTCGTTTCCTCTTTCGCTCGCTTGTGCCCCGTTGCCGATACAAACGCTATATTACCAGTCTATCGACGTTTGATATCGGTCGGCTGAGTTCAGCGGTGCGCAAACTCTCAGAATACGGCCAAAACTAGTTCCAGATACAGCAATCGCTGTTAAACGGAATCAAAATAATATCCAGGTGTCCACTATGCAAATTCGCAACCTCATTTTTTGCTACTCTAGAACTCTAATCACTTACAAATCTGTATGCACGCTACGTTCAAATTTTCATGACTTTCTAGAAGTCATTTGATTATAAACATTGACACTATTAGTAAATCTGATCCTACACAAAAATTCAAATTGTAATGACTTTATGATTATAAAACAGAACTGCAGTACATGAGTCATTAATAACCAAATTGTTCCATGCATTAAGCATGCCATTACCTAATAGCAAAAAAATTTCTAATTCCTTCTTTTTGTTTTTTAGAAACCGAGGGAAACGAGTTGCGTGAATCGTCATTTATTGAGTAACGATTACGAAACGATGCAGTGCAGAGAAAGAAAATTTCTCCCTTGCAAGACGTTGCACGATTTTTAGGTTGACGAGTGTGCAAGGTTTATGAACGTTCCGTGAAATTCTACGTTAGAAAAACGTCGATTCCGGTTCGGATACAGGTGCCGCTATTACGAGATTAATAAGCGTGATCGTAAATTATCGCGAGGCACGATACGAGTTGCGCGCCACTGATTTAATGGACGGCAGTTGGCTGGTGTTGGTAATCGCGGTGAAAAATCTTCCCTTTGAACGAGGCTGAATCCGCCGTAATTTTGTCGTCAGCGACGCCATCCGTGCCCTTTAATTACGATTCGCTCGTCGATCCTGAAGAATCGACGCGAAAATGCGGTCCCGAAGAAAAACTTTTCAAGGTTCAACGACCTTTTTCCCTTGTGACGGCTTAGCCGGGATTCGCGAAACTTTGGGGCTATTTTTAGATTTGTGGAATGAAATTTCAAGCTGAGTCTTGCTATCCATAAACAAGGATAATTAGGATAATGATTAGACTACACAGGATAAAGATTATACAGGTTAGTCTAATTATTTGTCTTCAAGGTCGTTCATTTTTAACTTCTCATGACTTCGAAACTTATTAATTTACTTTTACAAGTTTCATTAATTTATTTTTACGATATAAACCAGTGAATTGTAAAATAATTTGTGAATTTGTTTTCAGTGGTCACCGCAGGTGAAAATCAATGAATCAAGGTTCGCCTATTTTCAAACGGAGAAGCAAAACTAGCTTATTAGCGTACGAAATAACGCCGCAATGTACCGTAAGCCGACGGAGAGCCTTCACGCATCGTGGATCGAAGCGAACAGGACACGGAGAACAGGCACGATCGATTCGTGGCTCGTTACGGCGTCTGGTCGAAAGTTCGAACGAGCCCTGTGCATTAATATTTCCGTTATTGCGCGCACAAGCACCGAGGTTATGCCTTTCACACAGCTAAACAATCATACTGAAAACGATCGTTACTCTTTCAATCAATCACGAAATCAATTTCAACGAATTAGCACCTTCAACGCTGTACTAAAGTTTCAAGCAATTTTACCTCAGGCCTCTATTAACTTATTATGAGTCAAGATTTTATTACACCGCCTGAAACCTTTGGGATATGAAAATATTTTCTATTGATCAGTTTGGAGAAGGTAGAAGGCCTCAAACATTAACTGTAATTTTACATAAGAATAGGTCAGATACTTGTCACTGATGTAATTACTGAGATCTTCAAGATTATGTACTATGGTGAGCGCGTAAACTTCCGCAGAGTAAATTATGGTGTACGAGAAAAAAGTCCCACTTGTTGCTCTCTCGTTGATAAATTTTCTTGCAACTAAATGTCTTGAATATTTGATCAAGTGTGTATAACAGTGTTGGACATTTTTGTAAAGAGCGTAATGACTCGTTAATTACTCCATGCATTATGCATAGAAATTCGATCTCGATTGCTCTGTCGTGTGAACTTGAAATTCGATACCTCAGATTTCGTAACAGAGTAAGATTGCTTTTTATGGACCTGTACACTTTACATTTAGAATCATATTTTATAATTGAGAAATGAATTCTCAAACCATCTACTTAATTGCAAAGATGTTTTAATTTTTAAATAGGCTTAACTACTAAAAAGTTGATCAAAGGTTTTCTATAATCTGATCAATAAATATAGCTGATCAATGAATATGGTTGATACGTATAATAGAACCTTGAGCGTCCAGTAGCATAGATCACTGTAGATCTTTAATCCAAATTGGTCACGTGTTCACCACTGCACCGTACTCTGTTCATTTTCACACGAAACTTACGGGAAACAGTTACGATGAACGAGAAAGCTTGGAAACGGAACGTTAATAGAATCTGCTCAAGTCCGTGGTCGCGGCGCGACTAAATGTTGATCCAGGACTTTCACTTTGAGATCCAGCCGGCCCTCCGTCCCTTCTCGAGCCGATTATCCACAGCACGCCCACGCTCTCCACTCTGAATCACGATCGAATTGTTCTTACGCGAATAATACCGTTCGCCGAGTGGACAGGATACTCTGGACCAAAGAAAACACCTTCTCTTGATATTTAGTTTCGAATTAAAGTTCACACGGTCTTCAGAATATATACTAAATATGTTTATTTCTTTTTAGGTTTATTGGAGGACCTTTATCTTCAAGCTGTACTCTGAGGATACCAAGGATACGGAAAGTCGGCGACACGCGGAGTTAAAGAAAAACATTAATCAAGCTTGACTGAAGTTTCTCCTCTGAATTTAAATGTCATATATTTTTGATAATTGAAGCAGTATTAAAAATGAACATTTTAGAAAATATGAAAGTGAACTCGCGTGTTAGCAACGTCTGAAGTTTGTTATCGTAGTTCATTGAACGAGGAACGGTAAAAGAGGACGAAAAGGAATCGCTTACGTAAACGCTTTCGTTTGTTTTTCAAATATGCACCGGCTCGATTCTGATTCAGCACGGAAGAGAGCATGTGGCTTCCACCAGCTTGCTACGATTCGCCTGGCCGATGATCAGACAGTAGAAACTTCACTTTTCACTCGGAGCAAAACAAATGATTCACTTTACAGCGAATAAAAAATTCAAGACTCCTTTATAAAAGGAATATCAAAAATATTAAATTGAAGGTAATTGAACAATCTGTTGTTTAAATACTTGTCGAAAACAAAGCTGTTTTCATCTATAAATAGAGTGCATTTTTGCAGAGAGGATAAATGAAAATTAATACCCCAGAGACGAGGCGGTAACAGAGAAACGTAATCGTGGCAGATTATATCGAGTCCCAGCTGTTCACCTCCGTCGGTATAATCCATTCCCTGACTTTCCTCGTTCTACAGTTACTTCAGGGTGAAAGGTGAACCCTCTCCCTTCTCCACGCGAGGATCCGCGGTTATATGTACTTGTCAGAAGCTATTACAACATCCAGGCTCCGTTTTGCCTCGATCATCGAGGATTAATCCTTGAAAAAAGGTGATTCACAGACCTCGAGTTTCTGCTTGTATTTAATTGCTAATCTGCTAAAATCACATAGGTGATCCTTTTTTTAATATGACTTTGGAGATCCTTAAACACATTTATCTTTGATCTAGGAATCCTTAATTGAATGACCATTTTGGAAGGCACTTTCTGAATCTAAAAGTGGCTGCGTTTACTGTTCAAGACAGCAATTGTTCTCGTACCAAGAACTCCACGTTTGACCAAATGAAATAAGGCCAAGGGAAATCGTACACCAAAATCATGCTAACAAAGGGAAACATCTGTTTACTGGAATCGTATCTAATCTCAATCATCATGCCCCGCACGTATATACCTGTTCATTATTTTCTGGTGCCCTCGACGCGAGTTACCGCGACAAAAGTGACATCATATTCTCTTCACGAACCAGTTCTCATTGACTTTAATACCGGTTTTCTTCGGTGGAGGCTTTGAGACGGTCCCAGCACACGCGTCAACTCGGGTCGTAACCTTAAGACGAGTTCACAGGTATATAAGTGCGTTGCTCCTTTCAGTCTACACTCCCACACGTGTCAAATGACAAACAGTCTCATACAAACATTGCATACAAACATATTTTGTTGTCTTAATAATTCAGAATTAAGTTTTTCATTTGACAAGAGGTCTCGTGTTAAGATAGCGCTTCAAATTGAATTGCTATGGGCCCTTTTTGAATCCGATCGGGTCCCATCGCTTAGAGTCGGGTCATGTCGGGTCCCATCGCTTAGAGTCGGGTCACGTGGGATCCTATCGTAAATTTTGATCCCGCCACTTCGAATCAAGCGCTGTTTTGATAAATACTGAATAAACTAAGAACTTTGAAAGTTTACAATTATTCCTACAAATTATAATCTTAAGCTAAATGAATGAAATATGTGCTGATAATAATTGTTCATTAAATTCGACAGGAAACGGGAGTACAATGAATGGCGCGTGCCAAAATACATACTAAGGGAGCGAAATAGCTCGGGGCTTAATTAAATTCGTCTAGACACCTACGATGGAGTGATCAACTTTGGGCGACGGACGCAGGAGAAAGAGAAGAAGAGGAGGGTCGGCTTTTCTCTTATGTAATAGAGACTGAAGTTTCTGCTCGGTGTAGCATGCATACAAGCCGCCTCGCTACTTCCAAGCAAAACGAAAGAGGCATTGTCTCTTCACGTGTTCGGCCGAGTTATCCTCTTTTGTGACCTCCTAAACGAGCTCCAACTTTTGAACGAGTCTCGTTCACGTTGAGTCTCGTTTAAAAATGAAAAATTGTATACGAGATCAACCTGTGACAATTCCAGAGTTCATTGCACCGTGTACCACTTTAAACGTTATTTATATAACTTGAAAGAACTCTTCAATTAATTTTCAAACTCATAGTTCTCATATTCAGCGATGATTCATGATGAATTACTCAATCGAAGTTGCCTATCTAACTGAGAATCAGCAGAAACAATTAAAAACAAGTAGAAAAATCTGAAACTTTCCTTGAGGTTCCAAGATAATCGGAATAATCGAAAGTGAAGGTAATGAATGCGATAAACATATAAATCTTAGAGTTTCTCGTCAAGAAATATTTTACAGGTTTAACAAGTTGAACTGCAGCCTTTCCAAAGTTGTATTCACGCATCGATGCCAGCCAAAACCCGGAAGGTCCGCTTGGAAACCAGTTCGTCACAGCGGTGCTTATCGATTATCTTCTTATATCGTGAAATCCAGCGTGTCAAAATCTACCCGTCGTTACTAATTGCAATCGATAATTACATAAGCCGCACTCGTTAATTTTTACAACTTCTATCATTTGTTTTAAGCCTCGATAAAGTGGTCAAATTGAACTCGACGCGTGGCAACGAGCTACGTTACTTCTCTCGGAAGCGTTTCGCGATAATTTCCTTCTCATCGCGATGTTGCCCAAGCAGGGTCGGAAATAAGGTTGAAGAACCACGTTCGTGTCGTCTAAGCATCAACGAATGAAATTTTTTCTGACGTAACACCATTACGAAACGATCATCGCGCAGATAACTACAAAATACGTGTGGGAGCATGTGCATTATTATATTTTTGTTGTTATTGCGACAGCTTTCCATTACAAATCAGCTAATGCTGGATAAACCGCTGTTGCAAGTACGATGCATATCAAAGTGGAACTAATTATCGAATTTCTAAATATTAAACTTAATTCTAATCGATTTAATTTCGTCGATCTGATGCAACGAGGGCGTTGGACTTTTTAGTTGCAATAATTAATGACGAAAGTAACGCATTATTTATGAAACGCAGGCCACTGTAATAAGCCCCGAGGAGAAACTACTCGTCCACGATACACGCTGTTTTCTATAGCCGACGATTTAATGCCGACGTCCTCGATTTAACGAGAAAGAACAATGCTGTGAAGAAAAATGTGCGTTTGCGATTTGCCGCGGAGAGATACGCGAGTTGCTGATGAAGCGGAGTGATGATCTATATTCGAAAAAATCATTCCTCAGGGGAATAACGTAACTGCTTCTGATTTAACGTGAAAAGATTTTATACTCCTCGATAAAAAGTTAATTCATGCGGCTTGAGATTCAATCAGTTAAAAAGTTGTTTTGTCAAATTTATTAATATATCTTACATCACTTCTCACAGGCAAATATGTTTAAAGTTGAGTTTTATGTAGGAGACAATAGAGAATATCAATTATGAAGCAAAGTATAAAAATGTAGAATTTATGTGAAGTTAACGAGGAATTCATTGGCACGTTTTCCATAGCTTCACGCTTTTACGCATCATCGAGTTTTATTAGTCCATCTTAGTCCTTTCTCTTCAGCAGTGCATGAAATATAATTTAATTGCGCGTAATGAAAATTTAATGCCACTGAAAAGGAATTTCTCCATTACTCTTTCCTAATAGGAATCTTTTTCTCAGGATCTCTAACGATGAAAAAATATCAGGTAAAGCGGAGACTTCAAAATTTAAACTTAATTTATGTAATTAACTCCGCTATCTTTTGCAGCGAAAAGCGATAAAGGTCTACAGATTTCTAACGAGTCGCGTTCTCATGGAATTTCTGTTATCGAGAGGGTGCGATGGCAGTAAGAAGTTATCGACTAATTAGAATCAAATGCAGGAATAATAGAAAGCACAATGGCGGAAAGTGAATGAATCTGGGCGTTAATTCGATCTGAAGAAAAAGACCCTCCGGTGGAGGAAGTTGCGGTCGAATGAATCGGACCTTGGGAAGAGTCTTTCTGAGCAGACGCTCAAAAAGCGTTCGCGCGCCGTTGAGAAGTCTCCTTTGTAGAAATACCGTTCGACCACCAAGCAAGTAACAAGATCTCGCCTCACGGAACTCTGGTTTGAAACTCATTCACCAAATTTCTGTCCTCATGCAACAGTAGCTAATTAAAATTAAAATTGGTACTACATCAAATTAATATTGCACAGATTTCACGAGCGATGTATGACAAGAAACTGCAGTGGACCAATCTCGCCAATCCAGAACTTCCGGTTCTATGCTCGCAAAAACTGCTGGTGAACCGATACTCACTTTCTGAATTCGATGCTGTAACCAGGCTTTGGCGAATACGATAGGTCATTGAAACCTAATCAAAATGTTTCGGCTGTGATACTCTAGATCAGACCACCATCAGAGATCTTCTGCAACTTCATAACTGTTAATGGAACCTGTATGTCCACTTCTTCAAACTTTTATTAGCTCTGTAGTTGATATACTTTTGTTTAAGTTCAGAGACTTGTGCAATTGTTTCCGACAGTTTATCTGCTCGAAAGGGTCAAGCGCTCGCACGTGTCTGTACGTTGTTCTTTCTTTATAGGTACTGGATACTGGATGCTGCGCGAACCGTTATACAACCTACAGCATACGGCGGTCTTCGCTCGCCCAGATTCCCGTTGTCCTGTCCTCGTGTCATTCTGTTCTCCAAGGAGCAGCTAATAGGAAATCATAAGCTCAATGCACTTGTTTTATGGAAACTTTAGAGGTCAAGTTTCTTGCACTTTCGAAATTCTCCTTTACACGATAACATTATGAGCATTAGGTCATGAAGTATGAAACTTAAGTAGAAATTATGTCCTTCAGAATTGTACTAAGTTTTAAAAATTCCTTCATGCACTTCCACTGCTTGTCCTGTTATAACTTTTTTTGTCACGTACTTATATCTCTTTTTTCTATTTCCAAACGCCTCATTCTTTTCTTCTCTTGCAGGGTATTTATAACTCGAGCCCCCTTTCACTATTCATCGTTTTACCGAAACCCTTTTAGTGAAAAAGAATGGAAGGCTGTGACGCGATTTATGAGCGGATTTGTAGCTTCCGGATGTAACATGCTCTCAACATTCCAGCACGTGTGCTAATATTAACATCGAAGAATAATACAATAAAGTAGTTAAAAGTGACCTTCTATAAAAAAAAAGTAATGTAATCTGACGTATGCGGTTACTATATTTTTATCCGGTTTCATCATTTTATTCTGATATACGCTAATAGTTGGATGCAATATTTAGGTCAGAACCAGGTGTCCATCAGATATTCGCAGGATGCATTTATCCTTTACGAGAGAACCGAGCATACGCAGCAGTTACGATGAAGTCACAGAGTAGGGGTTCTCGCTGTCCAAGGTGATCCAGTGCGAAAGCGAGAGGTCCTCCGCGGGAAAAAAGACCGTCGACAAATTCCCGAAGAGAGAAAAAGAAACACGGAATAGGAGAAATAAGGGGGTCAGTTAGGAGCCGATACAAACAGGCAACCATGGTTAAGATCAGGTCAGGAACACGTCGTTGCCGTATAAAGTCTTCGAGAACCGTTGCAATTTCTGATATCGATGTACGCCTCGATCAGAATTCATGGTGTCCACATTGTCGAGCTTAATTAGAAGGTTGTAATTAACGAGCAACATTCACTGCTGAAGTGCTCTTGAGCACGTCATCGTTTCCAGATGCTTTAACGAGCATTTTTTGTTGGTAAAGAGGCTTCACGCTTGGCCGATTGTCGGCTGTTCACCCCCACTAGCTGCAAATTAATTCGGGCGATGACATTATCCGCACCCTCGTGATCCTATCCCTTGAAACGGAGATGACTCATGGCCGATGACTTTCTGTCAATTTCCGCCCTCATCCTAGGGAAGCCTCGACGCGTCAGGGCGTTTCTAGCTTAGAATGTTCCAACTTTCAAACTTCAAGCGTACAGAGTTTCAAGCAGCTCGAGTTTGAAGCAGACTTCAAAGTGCTCCAAGCTAAAGCTTTTCAAAGTTGAAGCATTTTGAGGTATTGCAAGTTGAAAACATTCCTTGTAGTTAATAAATGAAACTGTTAATACAATTTCTCATATGCTGCAGTTAATTTGAAGATACATAAGTTGAAGCATTTTAAGGTATTGCTAGATGAGAACATTCTTTATAGTTAATAAATGAAACTGTTAATACAATTTATCATATACTGTAGTTAATCTAAAGATACATGAGTTGAAGCATTTTAAGGTGTTGCTAGATGAGAACATTCTTTATAGTTGATAAATGAAATTATTAATATAATTTATTATTTGCTGTAGTTAATCTAAAGATATATAAGTTGAAGCATTTTGAGGTACTGCAAGTTGAGAACATTCCTTTTAGTTAATAAATGAAACTGTTAATACAATTTATAATATACTGTAGTTAATCCAAAGATACATGAGTTGAAGCATTTTAAGGTGTTGCTAGATGAGAACATTCTTTATAGTTGATAAATGAAATTATTAATATAATTTATTATTTGCTGTAGTTAATCTAAAGATACATAAGTTGAAGTATTTTGAGGTATTGCAAGTTGAGAACATTCTTTACAGTTAATAAATGAAACTGTTAATATAATTTATCATATGCTGTAGTTAATCTAAAGATACATAAGTTGAAGCATTTTGTGGTACTGCAAGTTGAGAACATTCCTTCTAGTTAATAAATGAAACTGTTAATATAATTTATCATATGCTATAGTTAATCTAAAGATACATAAGTTGAAGCATTTTGAGGTACTGCAAGTTGAGAACATTCCTTCTAATTAATAAATGAAATTGTTACTATAATTTATCATGTCAGTTAATTTAAAAATAAGTTAAGAAATAAGTTCTGAAGATTAGGATAAATATTGTTGATTTTTAAAATGAAAATGTGTATATCTTCCAGGGTCAAGTTGAGCTTCCTTGCCAAGAGACCGATGGCGATTTACTCTTGTTGCTGGCGCCGTAACGCTGCGTTCGTTTCTGCCACGAAAATAGTTCGGCAAGAAAAAGAAGAGGAAGGATAAAGGCAACGGCGGCTTGGCCGGATGAAAGGCTGGCCTGAAAACGAGACACGGATAAAACAACGAACAAGGGGAGAAAAATCGAAATAAACGCGGAGTCGAATCACGTTTTGTTTGGAGATCCTCGGTACTGCCCTTTCTTTCTTTTCCACTTAACGGGATCTAAAAATAATTCGCCGCGCAAACAAGGAAAAAGCGTGGCTCGTCTTTTCGCAGAACTAAACTTGTAATTTGTACCTGTAACGTTAGCTCTTTACAGAACGATCCGAACAAAGTTTAGGTTTGATACTTTAGGAATCTAAGAAGCTAGAAATTTTACAATTTGAGAATGTAGAATACAGATCGCCATACTTCTACTTTAACGACTCTTACAAGTACTAAAAATGAACATTTTAATCTACTCTTCAATCAGCTATTTTAAATTACTAATGTAACTTTAATGGAACACAGAATTTCGTTCTTTTCTATGTTTTTATTAATTGGTGTTCGCAGCAAATGGCATAACAAGGATCAAACTTCTCTCACGTGATACAGTTTGTGGCGGCGCGGAATTACGAAATAGCTAGCGGGTTGCCCAAGATACACTGTGTCCGGTAGTTTCTCTTTGTTCCACTGGCTGCCTCCTGGATAACCGGCTATCCGCATCTGTATACATACATTCTCGCATTGCACCGTAATTACACGCTGCTCGTTGCCTTTTTTCTCTCTCGAGAATCGCTGATCCATTTAATCCGTTAGAATTATTCTCCGTCAAATTTGTATATTAGGTCGGTAGGTATGAAACTTAACAAACCTTCAAACGTATAATTTAACTTCAGTATTTATTCAACAGTGAATCGGACAACGGTGTTCAAGAAGGAAACAGCGTTGCAAACACACAATCGAAGATTCCACGTCTCTTCGTACAAAAGAAAGTCAACGGATGACTCGACGATCAAGGTGATCAACAGTTGTTGATAAAAAGGAATTCCACCAAAGATTTTCTTCTTTTTTTTTAATTAATCGAACACGGAACAATCACGATTGTTGTAAATCCTCGATTGCTCAATGAACGGGGAATTGATTCCGCAGTGCTGCAATGATTTCGTTGTCACGATTTCTCTTCTATCCATGAGATGCTTTCAACCAATTAATGCGGGTCTCAATGTATCGTAAACAAAGAAGATTCCGCAAAATCCGATAGATCATTTCCATTCATTCTATTAATTGTACTTGAACTGCAAGAATTCTATTAAGTATGCGTTATACAGAAGTTGTACATACGTTATATCGCAGTATACGCATTGTATTGCCACGGGTTGTATGCTAAATGTCAGCAACGATTAGCACGTGATACCATGCGTTGCATTGTAGGTTATGTTTTATAGTGCCTACGTATTGTATCGCCTATGCGTGGTATCACTTGCTTATTGTAGAGTCCACGTGTTATATTACTTGCATATTGTATCGCCATTGCGTTGTATCGCTACGCATTGTATCTCCTACGATCTGTATCGGCTGCTCGTGGTATCGGTCACATATTGTATCGCCCACGCGTTGTATCACCCACATATTGTATCGCCCAGGCGTTGAATCATCCACGCGTTGTATTATCCACGCGTTGTATCGCCCACGCGTTGTATCACTACGCGTTGTATCACTGCGCATTGTATCTCCAACGCTCTGTATCATCTACTCGTGGTATCGGTCACATATTGTATCGCCCACGCGTTGTATCACCCACATATTGTATCGCCCACGCGTTGTATCACCCACGCGTCGTATTATCTACGCGTTGTATCACCCATGCGTTGTATTACCCACGCATTGTATCACCCACGCGTTGTATTATCCACGCGTTATATCACCCACGCGTTGTATTACCCTCGCGTTGTATCGCCCACGCGTTGTATCACCCACGCGTTGTATTATCCACGCGTTGTATCGTCCACGCGTTGTATTACCCACGCATTGTATCACCCACGCGTTGTATTATCCACGCGTTATATCACCCACGCGTTGTATTACCCACGCGTTGTATCGCCCACGCGTTGTATCGCCCACGCGTTGTATTACCCACGCATTGTATCACCCACGCGTTGTATTACCCACGCGTTGTATTATCCACGCGTTGTATTACCCACGCATTATATCACCCACGCGTTGTATAATCCACGCGTTGTATTACCTACGCATTATATCACCCACGCGTTGTATTACCCACGCGTTGTATTACCCACGCATTGTATCACCCACGCGTTGTATTATCCACGCGTTGTAT